AATGAGGCAAGGGAGAAAGTGAGGAGGAAAGTGTAAATGTTACATAGCTTGGTGAGGAAGAGTGAACATGTCATGTAGCTTGGTGAGAAAGATGAATGCATGTGTAAAGGAATCTCTTTGAAGCTGTGCACATCTTATGTTGCCATTCCTTTCTCCTTACTGTCTTTTCTGGTTTGGTGGCTTTGTATACTTTACAAAGGGATCATGAAGCATGTTTTTTTTTTTTATTGTTTGCAGGAACATGACCCATTGGTTTCAAAGGATTAATTTATTAACCAGAGGAATGCGTGGATCCTCTGACTCAGGAACCATTTTCTTTGGCCATTTTATGTTCATCTTTATAATTGTGTCTATAAGCAAATATTTATATTCTTTATACTTGAGTCTAGAGCTAAATATTGGTCATCTTTATACTTGAGTCTAGAGCTAAATATTTATATTCTTTATACTTGAGTCTAGAGCTAAATATTGATCATCTTTATACCTGAGTCTTTGAATAAACATTGTCTGTGTTTCAATGTTTAACTTCAGATTCAAATATGAGAAAGAAAGAAGTCAAATGAATTGTACATTTTTAGGGCAAAAGCTTGTTACTTTCAGGGTAGCTGAAAAAATCTTAAGAGCAAACTGCTTTCCCCCCCCCTCCGCTAAAATTTCCTTATGTACACAATCACCATCAAATGTAGAATTCAGTTGATCAACCATTGAATAAATATGATTAAAGTCATTGCACTGTAAGTGTTTAGATGTACAAAAAATAATTATACTACTTCAGATAAACATTAGTCATATTCAGACTTGACTAAAAATAAACATTAATTTATGTCTATATTTGGGTCTATAATTAAACACTGGTCATGTACAGACTTCAGCCTATAAGTAAACATTGGTCATGTTCAAAGTTGAGTCCATGCATAAACATTGGTTGAGTTTGCAAACATCCACCTGGAAGGACCTCCTTTTTGGTAGGATCTTACTCCTCTACAGGAAATGCATTTAGTGTATTCCAGGCTCTGCTGACAACAGCCAAATCTAGTGATATCACTAGACACTCCAAATGTGACTCTCCACTCCAAATTGTTATCTAAGTTGGTCAGTAATATAAGAGAAAAAGGACAACTACTTTCTCTATTCATGCTTTTTCCAAGTATTAAAACTCAGTAGATAGACAAAATTAGAGATTTATGAATATTTTCTCTAGTGAAAACCTGTCAAGAAAAATTTACTCAAATGAAATTAATATAAAGCTAGCTTCTCCTATTCTTAAAAAAGATCAAAACATAATTTTTAAAAATACCTTGTAAAAATTAATTTATAATTTTCAGAATGTCTATACATGTATCATATTATTAGCCATTTTAACTTTTAGAAAATAAAGAAATCCACAGAAATATCTGTACGATTAATGAGCAAGATATTTGAAATGATATATATATATATATATATATATATATATATATATATATATATATATATATATATATATGAATTATAGTAGACTGCATGTTACTCTTAGTATATAGCAAGAGTTTTATGTATGTTCCCATATTTTCCAATCTACACATTATTAACAAGGTTACTGAAATTCATACATATATAATCATGAATCATGAATCATCATCATCATCATCATCATCATCATCATCATCATCATCATCAGTGCCATGTGGTTATAGGGACACTGCACAACTGAGCACCTAACCAGTTCCTTCCATGCCAAGCATGTGGAGCTTGTCTGTAAACTGTGCAAAATTAGCAAGATTAAACTAGTCCTATTTCATCTGAGGGGAGAGGCCCGTGTAGTATATCTACAACTGAACAAAGAGCAGAAGACTGCAAAGCATTAATGCCACTAAGATGCAAGGGTGCTACTGAGAGTGAAAGAGAATGAAAAAACTTTAAGAGGAACCAGAAACCCAATCCTAAACAGGAAACAAGGGATAAACACCTATTCCTGTTCTAGAGTGTAAACTGGATTATAGGTGAACAATCCCTGATAACTGTGTTCATGACTGGCTCATTTATGGCATACACACAGTTTATCATGAGGCATTTGCCCTCTGGTGGAATATTGGACATGTTTTGGGCAGAACTAGACTTGTTTGCTGGAGAACTGCCAGAACAATGGATGACATGTTAATTTCTGTTAGGAGTGTCAAGCCATGTCAGATGCTTACTTTGAGCATCATCCAGGACCTTATGCCAATTTCTAACCAGATCCCATGCCATCATGACTGAGGGAAGAAGAGCCCAAGGAGCCAGTGACTGCAGCTCTTCAACCAATGGAAAGCCGTGATGAGCCATCCCCAATTCCAAATCATCATAACAGTTTCACCTGTTACAAATGTTCTGGGCTCAAATATTTTGCTAAGGACTGTCAGCATTCAATGTGGAGAGACATGCAATGATTTAGTGCAAAAGACACCGACTGATGTTGATTGACTGTGGTCCCACATAGTTTATTATTTGGCAACAGTTGGGTTGGCAGAATTCAACCAATATAATTGGTCATTTGAAGGCCATATTCTTTGAATGATGTCTCCAAGTCAAACTTAACACTGACAACAACACTGCATTTTGCAGTAAACTTCTTAACTTTTTGGATGAGTGGGTAACCCAACTACAGTTTCACTACACATCCATTCTCTCAGGAAATGGGATAGTAGAAAGATGCCATCATAACATCAAGCAAACTGCTACCAGGAAGTGGTGTCCAATAAATTATTGGTAAAATGTCATTCCAAATGATGACATATTGCTCTCAACTGTGCCCACTAATTTGATACACCTCTACCAAGTCTGAATGAGGGGTATTAATGACCCCGTTGCCATGAGATAAAGAGCAATTACTGTACCAGTTGAGGGAATGTGTGTGGATAATAGCCCTACACAGCTAGTGAATGATGCAATATTGAACAGTATGCATTATTGGAATCAATAGCTTATACAATATTATTATTAATTGAATATTATATCATATGAAGCATTTGTCTCCCTTTGTGGGTTTTGGTAAGTTGATGAATGAGACAAGCAGTGTGTCCTCAGACAATGAAAGATTAATTACCATTAGAGGTGCATCTGGTTTGTCCTTAGAAGTCTGTGCCATCTTGACTAAAAGCCTAATAACTCCGTGGACAATTCAAAGCCTGATAACTCTTCAGAAAAAGACTTGTCTATAAAAGAGACAGTGATTGTCTCATTAAGCACAAGATTCAAGGGGCTCACTTTGGGTTGTCACCTGTATGATCATGATATCAGGGGTAGTATGGCAATGTAGGAGAAATCAATGTCTTTCTCGAAAAAGAGTGTGTTGTCTGTATTATATATTGAAAAAGAAAATCAGGATCAAGCTCAGGCCAACTTTAGTAGGACTCAAAATATGATAATTGTTTGTACTTTCCTTAACCCAAATCTCTTTGCCAAAATAAATTTTTCTTTATAATTTTCTAATTTATAAATTGTATATAACTTCAAACTTGTTGATACCTTTAAAAAATAAGTGACATGTCAGTTCAGTGTTTGATGTGCTATATTCAAAATTTTTATGCCTTCTGTTTGATAAACTTTTTGCCTCCAGCTTACCAAACAGATTGTAGTTTACAATGGCATCTCTTTAGGTAAAATTATTTTGCTTTATTTTTGTATTTTCTTAGTGGAGGCAGTGCTACATATTTTTCATCCAAAATTGTTGAAGATTAAAAGAAAGTGGAATGATAATGATGAATGATTTATTTACTAGTTTACTCAGACTGTTGTAAAGAATTTTGCAATTGTGTTCATAAGAACACACATATTCTACATAAGTAATTAAGGCTTTTTTTCTATAAAATCAACTCTTCAAAATGAATTCTGCATTTTATTAGTAATATCTTGATAAAGAATTTTAATTTTAACTTCTGATAATTTTATTTTTGACATTTTATAAATGATAATTGTGTGATTGGGCAAATTTTAGTTTTGACTTTTGATAAATTTTAATCTTGACATCTGATAAAATTTAATTTTAATATCCAATAAATTTAAATTTTGACATCTGATAAATTTTAATTTTGTTATAAGATGAAATATAATTCAACACCTGATAAATTTTAATTTTGACACCTGATAAATTTTAATTTTGACATCTTGTCAATGTTAATTTTGCAATCTAGCAAATTTTTATTTTTGAGAAAGTTTAATTTTGATATCTAATACATTTTATTTTGACATGACATCTGAAAAATGTTGATTTTCATACTGGTAAATTTTAATATTGGCATCCTGTAAATTTAAATTTTAAAGTCTGTTAAAAAGTAATTATGATATATGTACAATCTAATTTTGACATTTGGTAAATTTTAATTTTGACATCTGATAGATTTTAATATTTTGTTTCTACTTTTATACTGTTGTTAGATATTTAATATTAAATTTGATAATTTTGAGATTTTTTTAATTTCTTTAAACTTAGAGTCAAGGGGTGTAAGAAAGATTTTGAAATCTCAAAAGCTGTAAGCAAAGAAAAAGTTAAGAACTGCTGTGTTAATAAAAGACATGACACAAAAATGAAAACCACAACATTTGCCAGTAAAATCCATTTTTATTATTTCTTATCTCAATTCAACTCCACTAAACAATATAAGTGTATATGCATTTACTTATGCCAGTGTGTGTATATGATTTAAATTAACTAAGTTTGGCAACTGGATTCCAATCAATATAGCATAATGTATGTGTGTGTTTTATATATTCATATATGTAAGGATACATAGTATGCAGTTATTATATATATGCATGTATATATATTTATATATATATTCATAATAGAAATATTGACTGAATGTAGATGCATCAAGAAAACACATATCACTATCATCCAGCATGCTTTATTAATTTTATATTTTTCTTTCATTTTGTATGTTCACACATTGTGCAAAATAATGTTCTTTCACAATGAAAGGTCATGAGATATCATGGGATATCAGTTCAACCATGGAATATCATTTTGCACCTCATTCCACCAGAATCTTAAATGTTCTTATCTCCATCGGCTTCAAAGTGATTTCTAGACCATTTGGTGGAATTCTGTCTGCATATTCATCTGAAATTAAAAAAGGAAAGAATATCATGCAGCAGAAAACTTAAGGTTAGTCTTATTCTCAAGTTTGGTTTAGCATTTCTTTCATCTTAATTTCAGTTACTTTTTATTGCATCTTCTCAAACACTCATTCATTGACTAATAATACATAACATAGATCCAGAGCTTGCACCTTTTTTCTGAGAGGTTATGCATTGAAATAGTATATTTATTATATACATATGCCCAGAAAATGTTACCAACATCAGTTAGTTAACACCAATTTTATTGTGAAAAAAATTACTTGCATAATAAAATCTGATAGAGAGTATATGTAGTGTGTTGTGTGTATACATACACATATCTGTCAATCATATACATACCTACATACATATATATATATATATATATATATATATATATATTATTAAAATAAGTAAAAACATGCAATACTTATTGACTGTAAACACAGTGCTTCACAATACTGAATGATTCATTGGGAACTTTGACAAGAAGGATTGCATTGACTGTAAAAAATCTATTATCTATTTTATATATATATATATATATATATATATATATATATATATATATATATATATATATATATATATATATATATATATATAAAGGTGTATCTGGACATCAAAAATTCATCCAAACAAGTTTTTTTTTTTTAAATCTATTGACAAACTCTATCTATTCAAATTTTTATTATATCATTCCAATTTCCAAATGAGATGTTGTACATTGGGATTGAAGTTATGAATAAATTATCCAAAGTTCAAAGTTGTTTAAATTAACAAAACTTCTATCTATCTATCTATCTATCTATCTATCTATCTATCTATCTATCTATCTATCTATCTATCAAGCTTTTGGCCTCACTAACAGTCTGGACAAAACAGTGGTCATGTTTCAACCTGCTATGGGTTCCCCTTATATTAAGCAATCAATATAAGTCCCATAAAATTTGTGGATGGCCACAAACTGAAAGTGGTAGACAAATTCACATACTTTAGGAGCATTATAAATAGATACTGTACTCTTGATGATGAAATATCCTGTTGTGTGAAGAAGGTAACTGAGGCTATTTCAACTCTAAAAGATCGAGTTTTGTCTGAGAAAGAAATTAGAATGTGTACAAAGATGGCAGTCTACAAGGTGGATTTTGTAACCCAACAATGTCAGTTAAACAGCTATGAAAATCCTTTTAATGTAAAGGTATTTAAAAAATTCAAATGTATGCAGCCCAAAACTTGAGGAGGGAAAAGAATTTACTAGCATCAAGATATTTGTGTTGTTTATGTTGGTAAATTCTTTTAGAAATAAAAGAGAAAGAAAGAAAAAGTAAGCAAAAAAAAAAAAAGAGAGAAAAAGAAAAAGAAAAAAGGAAACTAAAAAAGAAAGAAAGAAGAATAATGCAAACAGTAAAATAAGATTTGACTAGAGGAAGGGAGGTAAAAAAAAGAAAGAAAAGTAACCAAAAAAGAATGAAAGAGAACAGAAAAAGGTAGAAACAACAAAATTAAAAAAAGAAAGAAAAAAGAATGAATCACAAATAGTAACAAAGTGGGAATTTAAGAAGATTTAACTAGAGAAAGGAAGGTAAAATATATGAAAGAATGATAAAGAAAAAGTTCTGAAAGAGATTTAAGGAAGGAAGACACATAAAGAAGTGAAAGGAAAACAAATTTTGAAAAAAAATTGAACACATTCTGATGTTTTGTAAGCTGAAACAAATGTATCAAGTAAAAGCAAGTCTTCAAGTAATATACAATTTTCTATATTCATTTGAGTAGAAAGAAAGATGAAAAAAATGAGGATTTGTTGTTTAAATAAAATAGAAAAAACTAAATATAGATAAATTTAAGCCAAGACATATTGGGCAATCAGAAATTTGATAAATACAAACCTTATGTTGGAAGCATATATATATATATATATATATATGAAGAAATATAGTCTTAAGGTGTGCTATATTTATGGGATAAAGTGCTCAATATCAGAGATAGAGCGTGTGTAAATATAAAAGCGAACATTGAAATCAACACTTAGAGGCGACAGATATATATATATATATATATATATATATATATATATATATATATATATATATATATATAAATATACCCCCATCAAGACACCTTGCAAATTTGTACTGATACTCTCTATAGGAGTCTCCTGAGTCCTGCATTTTTTCCTGAAGCTCTATTTTTGGACTTCATGCACTTAACAACAGAGGGGGTTAAGTTTAGTTTTGATGGCAATATGTCTGCCCAAATCAATGTGATTTTGATGGTTCTAGTTAACATTTTTCTGGGTTATTATGAAGGCCTTCATTTTGAAAAAGCTGTAAACCTTATGTTTATTTGCATTACATTGATGATACATTCTCCATCTTCGATTCTATCTATGACGCCATAGTTTTTTAGATCCATCTCAATTCCCCACTGCTGCAATTTACTCTGGAATTGAAGCGCAATGACACTCTGTCATTTTTGGATGTTTTGGTTAAGTGTAAAGATGGTTTGTTGATTACCAGCATCTATCGCAAACCTACATTCACCGGTTTGTACACAAATTGGAATTTTTTTGTTCCTAAGTCCCATAAAATCAACTTGATCTCTACTCTAGTCCATCATGTGTTGATAATCTGTTCCTCATAACCTTAACCAGGAACTAGAGAAATCTGTTATTTTTGAGACCCATTTGGTGTTCCCTTCTTTCGTCAAGGATGGTCTGTTATAAAATAGTTCTGTGGTATATAAATTTAAATATCAGTGTGATGCTGAATACATAGGACACACCAATCAGAAATTGGATAATCATATTGGCGAACATGTAGGTAGCTTCAGTCAATCTTCAAGGACGACCCAAGCAGTGCATGATTCAGCCATTGGTTAGCATCTTTTGGACAACCCTGACTGTGCATATCAATATAAAGATGATTGTTTGCCTATCTTACATAGAGCTCAGTTCACTCATCATTTGAAGATTCTGGAAGCAGTTTATATTAAAATATACAAACTGAGCCTATATGCACAAAAAGAGCAGTTTAGAAGCTCATTAAGGTTATTTGGAGGGCATGAGTAATATTTTTCCTTTTTATACTCACTTGGAACTTTTATCCTTTTATTCATTTTTTTACTAATATATATATATATATATATATTTATATATAGGGTGGGATGGATAAATTGTCATCTAAATTATGCAAAAATTAAAATAATATCACATTTTAACATACATTTACAAAATTACACAAAAATATCTTGAAATACTAAGGAGTAAATTTATTCAATAAAAATCACCTTTGGTTTCATCCACAACCTCCAGATGACTTGAGAATCTGCTGTAACTCTTCTAGACAGTCTCCTTGTTTAAGTTCTTGCTCAATTGTGCCTCACACATAATAATAAAAGAGGTTGAAATCTGGGGTGATGTGGTTGCAGAAATTGTCTGACAGCCATGACTGGATTCTCCTGCTTGTGTAGCATGGTGCAGAGTCCTGTTGCTAGATATAGGGTTTTCCAGCAGCCACCCTCTTGACTCAAGTCAGTACTACCTCCTCAAGGCACTTAATGTAGGCCTCTATGTTGAGTCTGTGGCCTTCATCACATTTTCTTATCAGAATGATCAGAGTGTGTTTTCTGAGCTGCCATTAGACTCATCCACTCTTTCTGAGTTCTCTGCACCCAAGCACTCTGAAATATTTGTATTGGAGCTTCTGGCATGAAATTCCAAGCAGTACAGCATACTGTTCCCATATTTCTGGTGGAGTGAATTGCATCATGGTGCTCTTTTTCTCACATACAGTGCCCCAACTGATCCTAATATACTGTGCAGTTGACAAAATCAAAAACAAACAATGCACAAAATTAAAAGTATAAAATGCTGGAAATTTACCCATTGCACCCTGTATATATAGGGATAGATCATATATAAATATAAAAGTGGACATTGAAGTCATCATACAGAGGCTGCGGGTATTGACTTGTACTTGGACGACTGTCAGTGTCTGAACTGAGTTTCAGGAAGAGCATCAATCCTTGTAAAACTTTACCTCAAATCATTATGACAAGTCATATATATATATATATATATATATATATATATTGTGGTAATAAAATAAGCATGTCCAATTTTCCCTCTTGTTTGTAACAATCCATTACAATAAAATACATGTTTTTCAGCACTAAAGCTGAATTAGTAAAATAAAGCTTCTATTTAGAATTGTTACTATATTACATATATATCATATATATACAATAAATTTTTCTTGCATTTGTATAAGTGTTTTCTTTACTAGACATAAGTGCGTAAAAAATGTCTAAATGTTCTATATATCTGAGCATTTTTGGCTATTCTATTCTAAAGCATTCGGATATAGTTTTTACACACTTTATATCCAGTAAAGAAAACACTTATACAAACACAAGAAAAATTGAATAAAAAGCTTAATTATATTATCTTGTAAGTAATCTTTAATGAAACTTGTATAAGAGCAGGACTACTGGCCAAATTCACATTATATATATATATATATATATATATATATATATATTTTAAGTGAGAAAAAAGTTGAGTGATAAGAAGAAAAGACCCACAGCTTGAGCACAGTTGTTGATAACTGCCCTGAGATAGCCACCCACTCAGAAAAGAATTTGTTGGAACCATTAATATGATTCAATCTCTTTTCTTGAGGAAATAACCAGAAACAAAATAAGTAAGCAAAATTAGCATAACCACACACACACACACGCACACATGTATATACATACGTGTGTGTGTGTGTGTGCGTATGCGTGCTTGTACTTATGATGTTATAGAATTACATAAGAGAGATTAATTTAGATTTTTGACTGTTACTGCCAAAAATGATTTTGACCCACAAAACATAAAGTATGAGCAAAGTACTAGCCATAATAAATAAATAAAAAGTGATACTCTACTTTGTACTTTATCCAGGTTTGCACTCTTCCATTTAAGGCGACTGAGTTCTGAGAGTTCCATATTGCCACCCAATGTCATCTCTGTGAGTTGAACAATATTTATGTTCTTAAACAGATCCTGAAATGAGAGAAAGAAAAACTGGAAACCCTTGGAAAATTTCTTATTTTATGTGCCATGTTCCTTCAGGACATGAACGATCATTGCTTTCCACAACTTCCTATCCTTCATAGCTCTAAGCCATGTTTTCCTCCAGTCCACTCCCTGTTCTGCCTTCTATTATCACAACCTTTTTATGTAAGTTACTTGATGCTTTCCCCCTGCTTCTTACCTTCAATGTCTCCTGTGAATGTCAAATTCTCTAAGCCCTCTTTCCTCTGTGTGTGTCCCTGAAATTTCAGCTGTCTCTTTCGGATTCTAAATACAAGTGTTAAATTTGTCTCCATTTTCTTTTAAACTTTCTTGTTGTTCATATGTTCCATTTTCTCTTTCTGTAGAAACCTTCATCTGTTGCCTCAAGTCTCTTCTTCATCTGTGAAGAAATTGTCCAATATTCAAAACCATATAGGAGGATAGCAGTTCAGCACTGTTTTCATTGTTTCAAACAAAACTTTCCTGTTTCTTAACAATTCAGTCACTTTCTCAATATCATAATATAGCTCCCATGTACCATTTTTATAAATGTTTTCATGCTAATTGTTCTTATGAGCTCTTCACTATGGTATCTAGACTTTATGAATTTAAGCACATTACTCAATTGGCAACAAGGTCTCATCAATTTACAGTTGAATTGGCTAGATATAACTGTAAGTTCTATGCTATTAGTTTCTTTTCTCGCACTTCTCACTTGTGGAATTCTCTTCTGCCTCCATGCTTTCGAGCCAACTTTGACTTTCATAAAAATTTAATGCAATGTCAATTATTATCTACTGTCTTCTTGATTTCTTGTTGTTTTTTCCTTTTTTTTTTAAAAAAAAGACCTATACCCCAAGCAAAGCAGTAATAACACTAAAACACAAGGGGTTACAGGGTGTGGGGAATTAGGAACAGAAACAATAATGATGAGCAGAAAAAGAAAAGAGCAATCAGGAGGACAGTTGATAGTGAATGACATGGCATTTAAATTTTTGCTGGTTAAGTTGGCTGGAAGGCATGGAGCCAGAAGAGAGTTCCATAAGTGAGAGAAGTTTTAGTGTACCAGCTTTGTTCAAACTGTCGATCATGCCACTCTCTCCCAGAAACCATAACTAAGGTCTGCTCAACATAGTTGCAGTATAAGTCACAAGTGGGCTCTGTGGATGTTGAACAAACACAAATGTGCCTGAGCAGGCGTCTGCAACAGGGATTGGCTAGCTGCCTTAGTAGACAGGTATATTTGGATAAGAGTGGCCAGCATGTACTATTATTATAATTATCATTTTAAAAATTAGATTTTAAGTAATTTCATCTAATTTTTATTTATTTATCTATTCATTTATTTAATTATATAATAATTTATTTTTAGGTTTTCATATCTCACATGGTTTCAGTACTAATTTATGATAAACTGAAATAGTCCAGTTGTATGTTAATAATAGAGGTTTCTTAGCTCATGAAACATTCAGTAAATCTAATTTTTTATTAAAACATCAGTTTCCAGGTCAAAATTTGTCCTGCTAAAGTTGATTTAGATGTAATATAATTTTTTTCTGATGAAGTCGAGCCTTCAGTAACACATATCAAAATAGTTTTCCAAATTGTCTTATAAATTTACCACATTGACTAATGTGAAAAGATTGCTGATCTACTAGATAATATCTATCTTCCGTATGTGGCAGTGAATTCTAGACAGCCTCTTTACAGATGTAGAAGAGACTCAAGTAACAGAGATGTGGTTCTGTGGATGATAAGAATACCTTGGACAGAACATGTGGAAAGAAGCTCTAAAGAAAATAGGAACTAGAAATATTCTCATACTTAAAATCAGAAAGAGACAGTTGAAATTTCTGGAATTCAAGGAAGGATGGATTGGAAAATTAAATGCACACAAGACTTATTAAGAGAATAAAGGCTAGAGAGAAACAGGAAGCAACTTACCTGACTAGGTTGTTTGAATGAAAGGCAGAGCAAGGATAAGGAAGTGGAGAGTCATGAACACCAATGTTCTGCAGGAATGTGGTACAAAAATGAATGCCAAATATTATATAGAAATATTAAAAAAAGACAACATTTGAAATTGTAGGGTGAACAAAAATACAAATGAGTCAGTGTTACGCTACCGTCAGATCAACTTTCACTGGGTAATTGACTTCATGTTGCTCATAGATGTGTTCAAGACGGATCAAATAGGTTTTGCCTTCCCATTCTTCAAAGGTCAACAAGTTGATTTCACGGGGTAGGGCTCTTTTCAATGCTGACCACTGGTCAAAAGAAGACAAATAAAATGAAAAAAATTCTTCAAAACGACATATAAAACATATAATAAATAAAGAGGAATGCAGGTTCAATCCCTATGAGAGAACACATTTTTCTTTATTTAGATTTCTTGAATGTGCAGGCTGATAGATGTGATACACAGTGTTTAAAAATAATATAAATAAAAATGGAGTGTCTATTTCTAATACAAATATCTTCTATAACAATATTTGAATTAATAAAAATGTTAGATTAAAAATGGATCCATACATTTTTTATAATAAATAAAACTTAAATAAATCCAATTTTTTTCTGTGTTGAATATTGATATTAATAATCTTTTTTTATTATGAGTAGTTTTAAGCTTATCCCATTTCTTTTAGAAATAAAATCTTTAAAAGAATGTGCTTGTTTGAGTGACTTTTTCAAAATGTTTCTTTTGCCAAAAGATCTAAAAAAAATCTTATTCTGTAAGTGCACCACTTGTTTGTTGGTTGGTTTTGTGATTCTGAAGTATACAGATATATAAAAATAAGTGGCCTCTACCCTGATCTGAACCGTCAACCTGGAAGTAAACTATATACCAATACACCAGTATTCTGCTGCTGAAATATTTGGGTAAAATTAACTTTGGAATACTAACTTTTCCTATTTTTTTTTAATTCATAATTATGTGCAGAGATGTGTGAGTAGTGTAACAAATATTAACAAGGAAAGTGAAGTCAGTGAGTTGAGTTCAAATTCTGGCCCAGTCTTTTGGATTCAATTTCACACTAATAACCTTGTGAATGGTATGCATCCATCTCTTCTTCTACCAGTTATGGTTTAGATAGCCAGGTAGACTTGGCTTTTTAGCCAGGAGAAAGAGGACTTCAGAAGGCAACAGGAAACCACTCCACTATCTTTTCCAGAACATCATCTCAATTCACAGCTAAAGAAGAAGAACCTATATCCTGAAGGAAGAGGAAATTAAAATGAAGAAATGTAGGTGGAGAGTGTAACATTTATTAGTACAGAAAGTTAATTCAGTGTTCACTTTTGTACTAACAGCCTTTGAAAAGGTATGAATCTCTATTTGCCCTTCAGGTATAAGCAGAGTAAACTGGGGTCTCTAGTCTTTGCTGGTAGCCAGTCTAAGAGAAGGAAAACTCTGGATTCAGAACTGAAGAAGGAAATGAGAAACCATTTCACTATCTTTCTTCAAGAAGTCAGAGATAATAAAGAAGAAGAATCTAAGAAATCATGAGGTTTCTTTCTTTTTATACTGCTCAGTTACTGTTTTCTCTTAGTCTAAATCTGTACTGCTCAGCCCAGGGATTGAACTGCCAATTTCATGAACCAATGCTTTAATCCACTTAGCTAGTGTCCTATGGGATGATATCTCCCTCAATATAGACAGCAAAATGGGAATAATCTACCCAGGGACGATACTTACTAACCCCCAACCACCCAACTGGGGTTGGGGGAAGCCTAATTTGGGGCCTCTGGGTGACCCTTGCTATCTTATCAACATTTACTTTTTTTTGTCTACATTTATATATGTTACAAATTAAACTAAGCATAATGACTATTAAAGGATGACAAATTTTTGTGAATTTTGATGTGATTCAGGGAGCTTTTTTTTCCCAAATTTGTGAATAATTTGTTTTGTTTATGATGAGTCTTAAAAAAACACTACATAAAATTCACTATGTTTTATCCATAGTATTGAATGTGTTAAAATTATTCAGCTTTTTAACTAGAAAAATCTCAAGTTGATGTTAAAAATTGTTGTAAAACATTTAAGATGGAATGATATATTATGACATGTCTATAAATTATATTTAGATACATTGTATTTATTTACAGTTTTACTGGTTGAATTGTTCATCTATATTGCATACAATCCACTATTGTACATAATTTGGTTGCAATAAAAGTTGTATTTTATATAAAAATTGAGATGAAGTAGAGTGGGAAGCCTCTGTATCATAAAATCAGAGGGGCATGAAACCCTTGCACAGGCCATAAATCTCCCTCCATACATTAAATAAAGGGTTCACTTTGAAACTCCCTGAAGGTTACCCAGATCAACAAACTGGGGAAAAAAAATGGTCAAAACATTATGATGGTAACAACAAAGACAAGGATATTAGTCTGAATATAATAATAACTCCTCTTCCCTCAAAATTCTTTAATTCTGATCTATACTGTTGACTAACAACCATGGAATGACGGTCTATGATAAAAAGCTGAAATCAAGATGGAAAGAGATAATACACAAAATTAATGATTATGTTGAACCATAAGTAATTTCCATTTTTGGGAACCAATTGCATTGACAAATGTATCATCCTAACTCAATGTTCAATACAAAAGGCAGTGAACTGACAATGATAACTCTCTACAACTGAACTAAAATGTTGAGCTCCATCGAAAAAAGTGTACATGGTAGGATCATTGGAGTATTACACATTTAGAGTTCTTTAATTGATTTATTTTTTAAGGCTTATCAATCTTTTCTAGTTTATTTAAAGCCGGAAAATATTTTTGATTGTAAGAATGATTTACTGAGACAAGTCCTACTAATTAACCCATAGATGGAGGAGAAGAGATCGATTCATGCTTTTCTCAAGGGTATTTGTGCATAAGTGAATATAGCAAACCTAACATGAATTAGAACTCGGTTCTTTGATCTCCAATTACCAGCCATTATTCATTACACCATCCACACATCCAAGCTTGCAGCACTTGGTATTTCCAGGCAGTTACCCATCTAGTTACTGACCAGTTAAACTTCTTAAAAAAAACAATGAGATACTGAATACACATTGACATATCCAGCAATATATATACATAAAAGTTTCCTGTGCTTGTCAATAAGAAAAAAATTTTGTTTTACATCATTGCAATACAAGAATAACACAGTAAAAATGTTGGAACTTGGCTGGTCTGTTTTGCCTCACCTGCCATATTCATCTGACAATGCATCAACTGATTATTACCTTTTTCAGTTGCTTCAAAATGCCTTAATGGAGAAAAATTTCTCTAATAAAAACCAGATTCAAGAGTTCCTTAAAAAGGTTTCATATCAAAATCTGTGGAAAACTTATTGAAAAGGTATCAAAGAGCTGCCTGATAAGTGGTAGCAAGTCATTTCAAATAGTGGGGAATATCACTGAATAAAATGTAATTGTACTTTATTATTTAACTTGCTTAAAAGCCATACTCCATGCAGACTTTTAAGCTAGTTCCTGCAATGGGTTAATTAGATCTCTGGCCCAAGACTAAAGGGGCCTCTGGTTCAGCTTAGAAAACAGCAATGATAATTTTGAAGAAATAAATTTGATTTACTCATTTTACTCTGTGAAACTTCAAAACTTCACATTAACTCAGATCCAGGCTATGTCCAATTCTGGCTGATTTGGGTTGAAAGTACAATTTGGGCTGAAACTTTGATTTTGGCTAAAATTCCAATTCAGGCTGAAAATTGAGTTCTTCAAATCCCAAACTCAAAACCTCACATCACAAAACCTCTCACTTTAACTTTGATTCCTTGAAATTTTGAAGAAATAAAATTGATTTCCTCAATTCACAAAGTTTGGGAGATAATTTAAACTGAATTTAAAACAAAAATTTTTAAATTCATAAAGTTTTTGTTTTACTTTAAACTCAATATAAAATTAATAACTTAAAATCATTAATTTTTTTCAGTTATTTTAAAATCTGAATTTTTAATTGCTCCCTCTGATCCAGACACAAACCCCAATGCTTGAATGTTCAAGCACCAGATGAAGGGTAGATTTTCAATCCTGGGATCATTCTGATTCCAAATATGTTTATGTAGAGCAAGTGTGGCTCAAGTTAGAGATGTTTCAGACACACAAACTGACAGACAGAAAATTACTTATTACTCAAGGGTCTATAAAAAATAAGACAAGTAGTAAGTTTGTTACCTCAAGGTTGAATTTTGAGCGCATCTTCCGGTTAACCCTCATAAAGGATATGATTGGTTCATTTAGAATCATCAATGACTTCAGGCGGTGGTAGTGAGTGGAGGCTTCCTTTGTATCCAGAAGTAACTGATGCTTACCTGTAATCAGGTACAGTTAGAAATTTGTTAACATAGAGAACTGAAAATTTGCATTGAGAAATTATTTAATATCACCTGGTATTTGATTCAGTATCTGAATCAAGATGTTTATTTTTCCTAAACAATGTGGAAATTAACATAAAAAATGTGTCATTGAACAAAATATAGCATCTAACTTATAACAACATACAATATAAAAATGCCATCTTTAACAGAGAAACACGGTGGGTAACACATACTTTTATAGGGTTCTTTTATCCTAGTGGGTATTGTAAAAATTACTGGAATTCATAAGAAAATGTCAATTCATTCACGAAATAAGTCTTATATACTCTGCTATTCAGTTTAGGCTTCAGTTGTCTTTCAACAAGACAACAACCTGAAATATTCTTCAAATACCACTTGGAGAAGAATAAGGTTTAGTGTGTTTAAGAAGAATAATGTTAGGGTGTTACTGAAAGAATACTCAGAAATTAAGATTTCTCATCTTAATTAATCTATACAATGAACCCATTCCATTAATCTTGAGGGTTGTTTGGTTGGTTGATTTTGTTTAGCAGTATTTATTTTCTATGAGTTATTTAATGCTGAAATCTAAATATTTTGAACACAATTCAAATGGCTTCAACCAAATATATTTGTAATGCAATTCTATGCCTACAGATAAAATGTATCATTGGTCATTTTGCTACAAAATGTATTGTTGGTAATTCTACTATAAATATATAGTGTTGGTAACTTTTTTATATAAAAATGTACTGTAATGTAATGTATATTTATTGATATAAATATGTATTTTTATACTTTAATAGTGTTTTGTTTTTGTTTGGCAATTCACTATTTTCCCATTGTTGGGACCCTAACAAATGCTACCACAATGAGTCAGGGTGGACCTGGGAAAAAATAGCTATTAAGAAGTGGTTCCATGCTCCTCAAAACCTCCAATCATCCAATCAAAGGCCTTGCTGCCAGATGTAGTTTGACATCATACCAAGGAATAAATTTTGAGGAAGTTTATTAAATAAAGGCCCTAAAGATTTGTGACAGGAATTGAAAGCACTTGTTTGTAAGTGGAAGCTATACAATCTGAAGTATTTGTAGGTATTCTTCCTCAAAGAATGGTTGAAAATACAAGTTGAAAGATGCAGAAGCTTTATTATAGAGTAAAGGCAATAACTATTAGAAGTGCTCGATGCCAAAAGAGCTTGAATTACGTATTACTTCAAAGTTGGGGTTAAATATTAATACAGAAGTTATTATAATAAAGTAATCAAAGAAAAGATTGTTGAACTGCTATGTAATATCTGTTATCTTATATGGCAGTGAATACTGGACAGTTTCCTCACAGATGAAGAGGCAACAAAGATGTGCTTCTATAGAAGGATGCTGAAAATATTGTGAACAGAATATGCATGCAATGAGGCAGTTTTAAAGAAAAATAGAAACAAAAAGGACCCTTGTATTTAGAAACAAAAGAAAGAAATTCAATCAGTGCAGATGTGAATGTGAGAATTATTTTAAGATCAAAATGGTTGAAATTTCTAGGGCTGCATAATGAAAGAGGGCTTGGAGAATTTGACACTCACAGGACATACTGAAAGCAAGAGGATCAGTGAGGTGATAATAATGATTTTTAGTAATACAAGTCATACTAATTAACCAATAGCTGGAGGGAGAAGAGGTGGATTCATACCTTTCCCAAGGGTATGTAAGTAAATATAACAAACCCAATTGAAATTAAACCAGCCACACATCCATGTTTATAGTATCTGGTATTCCCAAAGCAATCACCCATTTAGGTACTGACCAAAGTCAACATTGCTTAACTTTGGTAAAGTATGGGAACCGGTGTTTCGACGTGATGTGGCCATAAGCCCTGAAGTTCTAAAAATTCCTACTCTGTAACAGCAATCCATTTGGAACAGTTACCTCATTTTTATAATATCTTGGCTGATGCACATTCCAAGTTTCCTTAAAGGTTAATAAGTATGATGGACAACTGAGAAAGGTCAGAAGGTGCAGTAGCAGAAAGAATGTGGCAATGACAGCAAAGATGCGCAAAACAATTTATAATAGTAATGCATAGGCATACCTAAATAATAATTGTATACAACAGAAATCAAAGGAAATGAGAATAATAAAACTGATGATGATAATGATGATGATAAATATAGGCATGATTACTGCCTCATCTGAAAATGAAAATGAAATCAAAAGTTTTATTGAATACTACATGGAGATAAAAAAAAAAGGAAAAAGGGAAGAAAGGAAAGGTAAAAAAGACATATTAGAAAAATGGCCAGATTTATTTAAGATATTTAATGCTTAAGCAGAGTTCTATTCTTCTATTATTGAGGACTGGGTTTACTGTAAATGGCTTGCAAACTCAGTTCACTGTATTTCAGAAAACCTCTTTGTTTGTTTAATTAATGCATATATGTGTGTATGGTGCTTATAAATATAAATTGTTATTTATGTCATGATAAGTTTACAAAAGCTTTGTGAATCCCTGCTGGGATTACATGTGCTTTTACTTTGCTTGCATCTGATGTCTGCTTCAAACTAGAGAAAATAAATAAATAGCAAAGATTTTCTAATCTAAATGTCACTGGCTTCACTTGCTTTGATCTAAGCTTTTAAAACTGTTCTCTTTCCGTGCTGTCTTTGCTAATTCTGTTATTTCCTCTGCCCACTGATATTTTATCCTTGTTGTAACCTGGATGCTTTTCTAAAATTTGGCAAAATTCTTTAAATGATGAAGAAACACAAGCAGAAGGCAACAAGTAACAAGAAATGAAAAGAAAAAATGAAGGAAAAGCTGGTTCCTTTCTTTTCTTTTTCTTACTCAGAAAACAATATTTTTTCAGGCTCTCAATTTTGTCTGCTTAATGTCTTTTTAATGTTTTTAGAACTTAGTCATGTGATGCATCTGGGAATGTACTTGCCAGTATGGTCTAGAGATTAAAGCAATTTGCCGGAAGCCAATAAGATCTTGAAGTCAATCTTTGGTCTTAATTTGTTGAGTCTTGTCATTAAGTCTTTTCAATTAAAATATTTCTGTTAATTTATCTGCTTTTTAATTTTTTTTATCTTGAAATTCTTCCTGTTGATGTTTTTACTAAGGTAAACCTTAGTCATAAGAAAGTTTCATATATAAAAGATGGGAATAAGTGTCCAGTCCCTTATAAAATTACATAGAAAAACCACAATAAGTTAAAAGGTTGTTTTTAATTCATTAAAAGTGTTTATATTAAAGATAAGTGATTGCTTGTATCACCTGCAAACTATTCTATGGATTAATATACCCTATAGTCCAAAGGTTTAGAGCTATTCTTGGGATTCTGAAAATTCACCTAAAAATTGACTGCTGTGTGCCTTTTTCAAAATTAATATACTAACTCACTTTGGACCACTTCATTTCCTGAAGTGTTTCATCATATATTCAATAATAATAATAACAATAATAATAATAATATCTGTCTATATTTCTGAGATGTGGTATTGTAACTATTTACTCTATTTACATTTTTTGGACTTTTGTCCACATCTTTGTTGTCATATTCATAACATTTTGGCTGTTGTACTCTCCAACCTTCTTCAGGTGATTGGAATTTCAAACCGAACCCTTTATTTCGTTCACCGAGGTAGATTGTTCTAGTTCCATGTGCTAAGCCTCTTCCAGATATCTCAGTTTCAGTTATTTCCCTTTTTGTAACTTAACAAGTTTTTGTTCACCTCTACTGTGGCCAGGTATTGTACCCATGACTCTTTTTGGATCAAGTCACTCGATTACTTCAACCAACACTGGCTCAATGGACAAAAGTGTTGGTTGAAATAATCCAGTGACTTGATCCAAAAAGAGTTGTGAGTTCAACATCTGGCCACAGCAGTAGTGAACAATAAACTGGAGAGTTGAATTAAAGAGAAATAACTGAAACTGAGATACCCGGAAGAGGCATGGCATGTGGAACTAGAAGAGTCTGCCCCGGTGGGCGAAATAAAGGGTTCCGTTCAAAATTTCATTCACTTGAAGAAGGCCAGAGTGTATAAAGATCAGGACAGCAGTCCAAACAATGTAAATAGTGTAAATAATAGTAATAATAATGATGATAATAATGATAGTTTTCCAGATCACTGATTACTGTCTTACAAAACCAGAACAATCGGTCTTCAAACATACCTGGAAACTACAGAAGACTGGATGATGAAGTGTATCAAAAAACATGAAGAAATAAGAAACTTCCTTCAGTAATAAAGAAAGCTAACAAATTCAAAAAGGAATTTCAAGTGGGTGAAGAAGCACTTATTGCAGTGGCAAAGAACCTAAAAAAGAAAGCAAATGCAATGGACTAAATACAAAAATAATGGCAAGATAAGTCTCTACATGGTCAATATTCTGCCTGTACCAAATAAGTTGAGAAAGACAAACCCTGTACCCATCGACAGGGTTACATAGCACTGGGTTAAAAGGTCAAACCAAAGTTTCATCCTTGCTGCACGTGACCAATGCTTGCTAACTAGAAATTACCAAGCATACCTACTGAAAAATTGTGTTGACCACAAATGCAGATTCTGAGATAAATATGCAGAAACAGCTGACCATCTTGTTTCAGGCTGCACGGTGTTAGCACCCACTGAATATAAAATATGATAGAGTGGACCAATATCTGCCATGGAAAATATGCAACTTTTACAGAAGATATTAACTCCACTTTAATAAATCATCTTATTCTTAAAAGATTTCTCTGAGTCTACCATTGTAATTCCCAAGACAGGAATATACTTGCACACATGGATGAGTGGTTGGAACATTATCATTCCTCAAACTTGAATCTCACCATATCAGGGAGGTAATAATATCAGCCCTGAATATAGCTCCATTGGGAAGTGCCTAAAAACCATACTATGACTTAAACCAAACTTTATGGGTGATATTAGGTTGACAAAAGCAGTCAATGGTTATGATAGCACAAAGTCACAAGTCATTATGACTAAGGGTTTGAGTGTACTGTCATCATTCAAACTGTTGAGCATGTCAGATTATGTGCTCTCTCCCAGAAACTGTAACTATGGTCTGCTCAGCATAGTTTCAATATAAAACACATTGGTGATGATGAATATTATTATATGCTAATCTTTATCAAACTTATTGTATATTAACTCTGTAGAGTATAAAGGCACAACCTCAACACACTAGGAATTGCTGCGGTGGTTTCCATAGTAAGTTTTTTTAAGGGGTGGAATTACTAACTACGTGCCCAAGTGGTTTTGATTTCAGTCAAAACTTATTAGGTATATGCAAAAGAATTCAGTAACCATTTTTTTTCTAGTGGCTGTAGAAAGTAGAAAAATTAATTTTTTAAGCATAATAAATGTTGAAAACTTCTGCAGACATAATATTTGGAAGATTATAAGAGTTCTTTCTTTATAAATGTCTGGACTTTTCCAGTGAGAAATCATTCTCTTATATTATTGTCTGTCTGGTAAAAAGTCTCCATAATTAAATTACTTTGCCCAGGATGAAGACTAAGGTCTTCCACTCTAGTGTAGCACTAAATATATTCTTGCCAAAAGTGCCAATAGCACCTTGAACCATAAAACATTCAATCATTCAACACTTATTAATTATTTAGTGCTTGTCTGGTATATTTGTTTATTTCTTTCTTTTTCTGCAGTGGGAGTGGAACAGACAGCATCTAATTTAGGCAAACAGCAAAACTTTCAACAGAAAAATTCTTAAAAAAAAACATCAAAATTGAATTAAAACATTACCAAACTGATTGTTAAACTTGGAGTGAGTACAAAATAATAACTCCTTTTACCCATTCCTTTCAAATTTAGGTGAGTTGGGGGAAAAGATGGAAAGAAATTTGCGAGCCAATGTGAAATTTACTTTGAACCAATGAAAACCTTGCCTTCACAGAGATTGGCTGGCAAGCTGAGAAAAACACAGAAATAAATTTGTGAGCCTATGTGAAATTGCTTTTGGATTAATGAAAACCTTGTCTTCACAGAAATTAACTGTTGAACCAAGAAAAAGAAAGAAAAAAAAATAGTGACCCTATGTGAAATCCTTTTTGATATAAAATGAAGAAAAAAATTAAATTAACAAAAGAAGAGTGTCTGAAGTCATGTGAAAGCTTTCATTTTCATTCACATGTCCAGTGTTCAAGTTCTTGCCAATGTAAAATTACTTGCCAGTTATATTATCTGCTTTTAACCAAGCACATTGCACTTCAAAGAATTTTCTTTCAACAATCCAAGAAAGCTAAGTATGTCAAACTATTTCTCTTCATCTACTTTTGAACATATACAAACCATATATCCCTCCTGTGAACATCAAAATCTCTTACCTTTGTTTTAAACATTTTTGAATATTATTTTGGGTCAAATTATTTAATCTGTTGTATGAACATTTCCTCTTTATGACAATTTATTGAAACTATGAACTTTAAAATTTCCAATTTATTTTCCTGCAATGAGCTACTGACACAACTTCAAGTGTGTAAATTTGTAAATAAATTTCTTATCTTGTTTTGTTAAAATTACCATGTTTTACAGTGTCATTATTATTTTTGATTAATCTTCTTGGTGTAGTTAAATCATTTGTTCATTTTAACCCCAAAGCCCCATGCCACTTTAAACTTGCAAGGTTTGGGTGAAATGTTCATTCCTCTCACTGAATAAATAAACAACCTGCTTCCTCTCATAACTATTTCAATTTTTACAACTCTGAATAGGGATCACATTGTTTCTTGCTGGATTTCTTATTTTCTGTAGGAATCAATAAAGATACACAGTCTAGAGATGACTGCTGATTGGATAAGGTTAACACAAAATCAACATTCAGCTAAATTCTCAACAAGTCTTCAATGCAGATGTGTGAATGTGGGAGTATTTTATTTTAAGATCAACACTTTTGGAATGTTTACTTTACCAAAAGCTTTAAACAGATTGGCTCTACTTGCATCTCAAACCAGAGATCCAGATATGAAAATTAACCCCTTACTATTAGACAATTGCATTCCTTTCCTAAAGAAATGGAATATAAGTGAATCAATCAATTAAATATTTTAAAAATATATATAATAGTATTTTTGTGAAATACATCTGTTTGATACTTTGGCACACATCATCAGTGTTGTTTTTAACTGAGGTTCATTAGGTTTCCTTGGGGTCTTTCAACATCATACCCCCTCTCCACAGTGACCCAACCAATACTGATCAGATATCAACTTGTTTACCATCCATCAGCTACAACTTACCTCATTTTTTCACACACTGCAACTCATCTTGGCAATTTATAGTCCAATGAGGTCAATGGGTGTGCAGCCTGAAACTCTACCCCATTAAGGTATTTCTTATTGGGTCCCACCTGCAAGGTTATAAGCTGCTTTTATCAAAACTTGTCACCATTTGCATCCGGCCAGCATACCCTTGTCAGAGTGGGTCTTGTGATGGCTATATTGAACTTTGTATATTTGCACCCTTGCATTACTTTCTTGGCATGCTGATCACTTACTCAATAATAATAATTATAATAATAATAATAATGATTTAAAATGTTTCCTCTAACAAAAAAATTTAATAAAACAATAGTCTTTCCATTAATTTGAATACCTACCCCGAACAACTAAAGCATCTCCATCCACCCCTCTCTCATCCAGAGGTTCTCCTACACCCAACATGTCATCTTTAGTTCCTCGACGATGGAGCTGAGAAAAGAGAAACAAAAGAGTCTTAGAATTAACTTTCAATTTTGCAGACATTTATTTATATATTAAATTCTTTATTGGAATGGTTGGCACAACATCAGCAATTGATTCAAACTTTATAAAATGGTAAATAATAAGGATTTCCTTATTCCCATATTTTAATAATTTAGAAAATGTTTATAAATTTATGAATAAAAAATTGTTTTCATATTTATTGGTAAATGATAAATATTGCATTGCATTAGTTTTAATACAATTGTATTAGTTTTTAGAATGTTGTAAATATAAAATTATTCTTATAAATAAATAATCACATAAATAAATATAGTGTTTAATATCTTTATTGTAAATTCTCAAGAATAAAATGAATGTATAAATTCACCTTAATCATATGTTTAAGTTTTCTAATCATTGTTTTTAAAACAATAAACATTGCTGAAGAGTGAAGGTAGTTTTAATAATAATGGCGTCAAAGGAAAAACTGTCCTTTTGATAAACCATTTTTTGGCAGACACAAAGGATTGCCAAAACTTTAATTTTAAAATGTATGTAGATTTATTCAAATATTTGGGAGTATTATTCAAAATATAAGTACTTTTATTAAAATTATGCATATATTTATTTTAAGCAATAACTACTTGGAGAAAATAAAATATCGTCCAATAAATTTCAGATTATAAAATTATCAAATTTCTATTAGGTAAAAATCAGGCATTAATTTTCTTAATGTAGTCAAAATGATAATCAGTTGCACCAGCAATATAAGATTGTACTTTATTAGTAGAGAAATGATCATGAAAGATATTAACTTTCAAATAATATCAAGTTGTTTTATCAGAAATCTGTATTTGAAAAATCTCTAAATAATATTTTTGTTTTATTTATTAAAAGATTCAAAGAAAAATTATAATTCTGACTCACCATAATTTCTATGGAACCATTTTTTATGCTGCCTCCACCCTCAGCTCTGTCAACAAAGACAGTGAATTGAACATCTCTTGATACATCCTGAAAATAGCCAAAACAATATCAAAATTAGAAAGACATTAAAGTGATTTGCTTACTATTTTGTGAAAGGCATAACCAAATGTACATGTGAATTTGTGTACAGATATATAAAATCCCAGGCTGTCTTTATGAGATATTTTGTAAAATTTTCCTGACGATGTTATAAGCACAAAAATCATATGACTGAGGTTAGGTTTTCCTTTGATGTTTTTACCAACTTTTCCAAATTTTCTTGGACATTAAAGCTAAGTTATGAAAGTCTTCCAATTGTTAAACATGGGTTTTGAAAATTCCCAGCTTAAAGAGTTAAGGAACAAACATTCTGTGAATGTGTTAGAAACAGTCACTGTTGAGGATATCCATGTACAGAAAAATTCCTTTGTTATAACAAGAAGCACCCTCCCTGAAGCGTTGTTTTACAGCCAAAATAAAAATCCCAAAATGCAAATGCTTTGTCTTCTCTTTGAATTTTTGGATGTTCTTTTTTATAATTATGTGAAATATAATATATGTTTTGGATGAATGCCAATCATCTTCAGGACTGCTTTGCTAGTACAGTTTTTTTTCCCTAATTGTAATTTCTTTTAGTTTTCAAGCAAGGTTATATTGCCACTAAGATGCAACGGGTTACCAGGAGTGAAAGAGAAGATGAAATTAGGAGAATAAAAGAAGAAAAAGACAGATGGTGATTGGTATTGTATTCAAATTTTTGAAGAGTGCAGGTGACATAGAAACAAGAAACTGGAACAGAGATCCACAGGCAAGAATTGTGAGAAAAGAAAATATTAGAATAGAACATACAGTTGCATTTAGCTAGTTCAACAATAAAACTGAGATTTAGTTGTCAATCTAATAGTACGTTTAAATCCATGCAGTCTAGGCATCAAGGAGAAAAGCTTATTAGAACAATTACTATGAAAATATTTGTATAAAAGACAGGGGGAAGCCATGTTATGGTAGTGGAAAAATGACTGAAGTCAAGATGCCAGGTCATGATCAATTACATTAGAGACCTTTCTTTGACTTTTGTCAAGAATCTTGAGATATATAATAGCAGTGTAGTGAGTGTTGAATAATAACTCCCTTTTACTACTCCCTTCAGGACTGAGGAAGAAGCAAGAAAGAAATTTGTGAGCCTATGTGAGATTTTAGCCTTTCACAGAAATTAACCAGTGAGCAGAGAAGTAAGAAATTTGTGAACATATGAGAAATTGTTTTGAAGCAATGAAAACTTTTCCTTCGAAAAAAATAACCAACAAGCTAAGAAGAAGGAGGAAAGAAAATAGCAAACCTACATGAAATTCTTTTTGATATAAAATGAGGAGAAAAATTAAATTAAAGAGAAGAGTGTGTGAAGACATGTGGAGGGTATTGTTTCAGTTCTTCATGACCAACATTGAAGTACTCATCATTGTAAATATACTTGCCAATTATATTATTGACCTCTAACCAGCAAATGGCATTTCTAGAATTTTGTCTCAACAATCCAACAATCTCTTTGTCTACTTTTGAATGTATGCAACTGTATATCCCTTTGGTAAGCAATGAACTCTCTTACCTTTATCTTAAAATATATATTATTTTGTGTTCAATCATTTAATCTGTTATATGAACATTTATCCTTCATGTCAATACATTAAAACCATGGACTTTAAAAATTTTGATTTATTTTCCTGAAATGACCTACTGACACTACTTTAAAAAATCATGTAAATTGGTAAATAAATTCCTTATCTTGTTTTGTTAAAATTACCCATGTGTTTCCTCATTATCATTATCCCTCATTAATCTTCTTAGCATGGATAAATCAACTGTTCATTTTAACCAGTATATGCCATGCAACTATAGGAGCACCAAACCAGATATCACAGCAATATTCAATGCATGGACAGATGGTAGATTTATAAATGTGTAAGATGAATTCTGACAAGAAAAATTGTCTGGCTTGACACATTAGTCATTTAAGATTGCATAAAAGAAGTAAGAATGATTAACAAGATTTTTATTTTAACATATATGTGGTTTAATGTTTGTCATAAAATCAGAAGTTATAGCTTTTGTTTTATTTTTCTCTGTCAATCAAATTTATGAAAGAAATATTACATGTGCAAACAACAATTCTTTTTGAATGTCATTAAGATGAATGTGTTTGTTTTAATTTTGCTTAGTCAGGTTATATTTAATGCATATATGTTTGAGTAAAAATACCTGTTTATTTTTAAACTGTGTAATTGACACCTACCAGCATGGGCAATCAAAAATATTAATAAAGAAAATGAGCTGTTTGGTAGGAATTAAACCTGCATTCCCTTTACATTGGTAAAACTGTTTCTAAGCTGTGTGTGCTTTAGACTGCTCAGCCATAAAACACATCACAGCAAATCAAGGTCTTGTTATCTGATTTTTAAGAAATGCATCTCTTGGAAACTTTCAAAAACAAAATCTAACTACTACTTTTTTTAACTAAAATGTAAACAAACTAATTTCTAAGGAATTGGTCGATCTTTTAATTCAACAATATTTCTTAGTATAATAAACTATATATTTTGTGGATACATATGTTTCAATAGACATCACTGGTTTTTTGTTAAAGCAGAGATGTCTGTTTTATTTCATTTTTACTTATATTTCTTTAAAGATGGATGTCTACTCAAATATGTGTATCCACTAAATATAATGTTTATAGTAGTTTTTTTTTAATCATTTCATTCCAATCAACACAATAAAGCCACTGAGATACAAGAGGTTACTGAGTGTGAAAGAATATGAGAAAAAGAATATTATTAAGCAGGGGGAACACTAAAAGAGTAGAAATTAAGATAACAATATACATTGCATTTAAATTTTGGAAGATCAAAGTTGGGTGGAAAGCATGGAGTTGGAAGAGAGTTCCACAAGTGAGAAGTGTGGGAGAAGAAACTGTTAGCATAGAATTTATAGTTATATCAAGCCAATTCAACTATAAATTGATGAGATCTTGTTACCAATCTACTACTGTGCATAAAGTCTAGGTACCTTAGAGGAAAGTTCATCTGAATGGTTACCAAGAAAGTATTTATAGGAAAGGTACAATGAAGTTACATTACAGCAGTGGGAAAGTGGCTGAAGCCAAGGTCAGGACCAATAACATTGTGGATTCTTCTTTGAATTTTTGCCAAGAATCTCTAAATATATAGCAGGAGCACCAGACAATATATATCAGCAATATTTGAGGCATGGGCAAATGGTAGATAAAAAATTTGTTAATTCCTTACAGAATACATTCAAAACTGTATGAAAAAATTAAATCACAGTATATTGAATGACATAAATAAAAGAGAGGATCATCTAGAAGATTGGTGAGTAACTATGGAGAATATGCAATGAACTCAACAATTCACTCTACCAAGTATAACAGCTCAGTGTATCACTAACAAGTCATAGTATCAAACACATTTGGAAAATATCCAAAAATACACAATTAACTTGGCTACATGTTATTGACTTGATATAGCAGTTCTGGAAACATAGCAGCTGACAACATGTTTAATCATCACTTGAGTACAAGCAGTTCTAGCTCAATCGTGGGTGTCAGGATTGGTTGACATAATAATTGTTGATTAGAAAACAATACAACAAATAACTAAATAATATTATCAAAAATACTATTGAAAGTCATTTAAAAATGGGATTTCACAGTATGTGGAAATACTTAGAGAAAAGAAAAACTTACCTTAATGAAGGCTTGGCTTGTGATTGGGTAATAATTTCCCGCAACATTTTCTGTATTCCTAAAATTCCATGATGGCCGGTAATTGTAACTGAAATGATCAAAACTACAAATTCTAGATCTGATTTAAGCAAGAATTTGGAAAAATTCAAAGACATAAGAACAGCAGGATTTTGAATTTCAGAAATGGAACAAGAAATAAGAAAATTTCATTTAAATTTATAGAAGCTCAAAAGCTGACATGTTTATTTAGCTGACTCCATCACAAATCATGGAGGGTTTTCTGATGAAAATAGATTCTTACAGATATTATCTCAATATCCTACAATATGTTTAAAAAAATATGTATATATTTTTGGAAACAAATTCTTTGTGTGTGTATGTGTGTGTGTATATATATATATATATATGTATATTTAAAATTTAGGAGATCCTACCATGGTCTAAACCTTTAGGCAACTGCCTGTTTCATGCTAAACGTAATCATCAGGCCATATATATATACATATATATATATATATATATATATATATATATATATATATATATATATATATTTGGTTGGATTGATGTGAGCTTGTGACCCTGGGATTCATGCTTTTGCGATCGTCAGACAAACTGATTAATTTTTAAAATTTTTTTGGATTTATGCAGATTCCGTGTATTGGTGTTATTATGTGATGTCACTCATGCTAACGCAAACATAGATGCATGTCCATACACCCGATGAGGTATGCAGACACACATACACACTTGCTTGTCTGCCAGGGTTCATACAGATATAAACATATATGGACAGTATGAGATTTGACATATGTATATATATTTTAAAAAATTTAATCAGTTTGTCTGACGATCACAAAAGAGTGAAACCCAAGGTCACAAATTCACATCAATCCAACCAAATATGTTAGCTCTATCTTTGATATTGACAGCTTTCTAATAAGTACCGTGCATATAATATATAAATAATTATATATATATATTTATATTTATATATACACACACTTTATATATATATATATATATATATATATATATATATATATATATATATATATATATATATATATATCTGTATATGTATGTATCTTTAGTTAATTTACAACTAGATCCAATGAATGTAAATATTCTCCAAATATTTGTGATGTAGCATTTTCATCCATACTTATAGTGATTAATGGATTTTATTTACATTCTGGTATGTTTGGGTCAAGCTTTCAATAAATCCTTAGCATCTGACTTTAATCTGAAATACATTAGTCATTTCTGCATTCCTTACGCATTGCTCTTGGAGATCTTTATATACCTTTCAAACTTATGCTGATAGACCCAGTTGATATATTTGTCAATAAAGAATATATTAATTCAATATTGTAAGCTTTTTGAACTTAAATGACTAAAGTATAAGATCTGGAGGCTGAGCAGTTAACATGATCTTAGTTATAAAAGCAGGATGATGCTACAAAACTACTGAAACATTGCAGAATGTGAATATATATATATATATATATATATATATATATATATATATATATATATATATTATAATTATTTTCTATTTTATAAAATGGTTCCATCACTGCATGAAGCCATCATAGTGATAGAGCCATATTTTTAAAATAGAAAATAATTATAATAATATGCTCACAGTTTTGTATCAAGCACTGTTTTTTAAAAATAAAAATAATTACTAAGGACACCAGATTGTAAATCTTACTGTTCTTTCTTATTATTTTAATATATACATACATACATATATATATATATAATGGACTCTCCCGTCAGTTTCAACGTATGAGGATCTGATAGCTTATTGATTCAGTTATGAAAGTTTGTGCGATAATCTTAAGTGGTATTTAAGACCCACTAGTGATTAACAAAGGAGGCCACACATGGAGCAAGTGTGAGGATTTTTAAATGAGGTCGTTGTTAGATTGGGTGACCTTTTAGATCTTGCTCTTGCTTCTTGAAGATGATTCAGAGAAGCAGATTGAAAATTGAGTCCACTGAAACATGTCGATCTCCATTCTACCTGCTCCAAAAGCTAATATATATATATATATTTATATATATATATATATATATATATATATATATATATATATATATATATATATACTGGACTCTTCTATCACTTTCAACATATGAGGGGCAAGCAGCTCAGTTCTTAGAACCAACAGCCAGACTACCTGCACATATCATTTGATTATAGTGCTGAAGGATTGTACAGAACCAGTCATACTTTTTTGGAAGAGACTAATACAGAGAACTGGTGCACAGGATGCCACAAGTTCACCAAGTGATCATATGCAGGTTTTGAATTCAGTGTTTTTCTTCTCCTAGATTGGTTGCCACCCAAGGCTAAAACAACCCCTTTTATCTTGCTTTTTACACCTGACTACCTCTTCTCCCCAACTATGGGTTAATAAGTAAAACTTGTATCATTATATCATTATTATCTCAAAAAATATCTTACAATCTAAAAATATTTTCTAGCTTTAAATAACCTGCAAAAGGTTTATAAAATGTAGAAAACAAATAAATCAATTAATATGTTTTTCTATTCGATCACCAGAATGTTTAATATGTAACGGGTTGATTGCATCAAGGAAGTGAGATAAAAGTTTAGCTATTATTTTTGCTAGTTTGAAGGGTACTGTTAATGCTGGATATGATGGGTGTAATTGGTATATTATGTTTATCTGTTTTGAGTAAACCATATAGTTTGCTTGCTATTGGATGATATTCTATTAATGTTGTCCATATTTTTTCATTTATCAGCAATTTTCTAACTGGATCATTAAATTCTTATATATCTAAATTTACTGTGTATTCATTAACTTTTACATAAATGTTGTCATGTTTTAGAGGGGATTTTAATTTTTCAATATATTTGTTAATATCTATGACACCTTTTGATTGGGGTTTATAGTTGTTCTGCTCTTTCATAGACTTTATAATGTGTATCTGTATCTTTCTCTCAGTTTGTTACGTGATCCCTAGTGTGAATCTTTTTTCAAAATCTGTGTTGTCTTGGATGTGATTCTTAATTATGGTGGCTAAGGTGTCTTCATTTTTTATGCCAAGGCTTAATGCTTCCACTTCTGTGTAATTTGTGAAAAAAAATCAGAGTGACAAATTTTTTCTACTCTACAAATGCAAAAATTGTGCATCTTATATTTTAGACCATTGACTTGTTTGATACCTTTCCTCTTTTATTCCTGTAGAGTTGACTTTGAATTCTTGTCGTGTTTGTTGCCTTCACTTATGTGTAAATATCTTTCGGAAAAGCACAAATTTATCTCCTCCTCCCAACTATGGGTTAAATAGTAGGACTAGAAAAATCATTGTTACTCTCCAAAAATGAATTAGTTTTATAATCCAAAATATGTCACTTAAGTATTTTACTCAATTTTTTACAATAATCTTCTCCCTGTACAAGCTCGAAGAGCCACACAAGGTAGAGGGTTACAGAGTAAGAGTTAAGGGCCACGGTTTATAGAGATATATAGGGAAGATAATGGTTACCTGTAGACTGGAACAGGTTAGGATTGTAGTGATCAGGAAAGCATCCTCTACTATATAGGAAGAAGCTGTTTGAGTGGAACTTATATCTCACCAATGGAAACTAAGGAATGTAATTTGTCTGAATACTTTCCATGGAAATAGCGATAAGGAGAGGTTTGCAATGTTTTCTCTATGGTAATGGAGTTGTAGGGTGGAAAATAATTAATCTCCCACAAAGCTGTGTAGATACTTTTGGACTTTATTGACACTGGAGAGTGAATAGTGTACAGCTCTTGCCTATACATGTCAACAGTACTCCATTTTTGGTCTCTTGTAAAGTGCAAAATATAAGAATAAAAGATATAAGATATGGAATTTCATTTATTAAGTAAGCAATCGCATACTACTCAAGAGATTTTTACTTTAAAATTAGTTTTTCTTTGTAATTTGTATAGATTTCATAAAATCTAAAGACTAGTCAAAGTAAGATTAAAAATTTATAAAATCTAAGAATGTAGATTTTGGATTTTCTTGCCATACTTACCGCCTGTGCATCATTTGACGACTGTTGGCATCAGTGAATATTTCTCTATTATTGTTTAGTCCTGTCAGATAATCTGTAATTACTTCCTTTCCTTGATAATTGCTGCCAAGACAAAATAATATACAGAAAGTCAGAGGATAATTCTCAAAAAAGTTTATAGTCTTTTATAAATTCTTCCTGCAAAAAATTCCAAAAAAACACATGACTATATGCTTACCTATATATTTTTGTTCTTATTTTTGTTCATATGATAACTTATAGCCCATTAGTATTATAAGGTCACAATATGTACTGCAGCCATGGCAGCAGTTGATGTGTCCAGGGCAAGAGAGTCTAATAGAGTATGTCATATCCTGTTGGCATTCTCACATTTAAAAAAAAAAAAAAAACTTAACCAGCAATCATTGTAAAACTAATGCAGGATATAAAAAGGCCTCAAATCATCTAAAAATATAGAACTGTAGCTTCTGTCATTCAATACAGAACTTACTTCTTGTTGATGAAAACAGAGAATGTGGGTGTTTTGCTCCTATGTTAGTGGCATGGCATATCCTAGCCATGAAGGTTAAACCTGGCAGAACCAAGGAATGCAGTTCATCTGAGCACTTTCCATGGAAGTCGTGATAGAGCAGTGAGAGAGACTTGCCACATCCCACCTTAAAAATAATAAATATTTCTTCTCCAACAAGGACTGGGAGATGCTTTTGAACTCTATCAAGAGTGGAAAGTAAGGACTGGGTAGCTCCTGCCTAAATATGGCAACAGTACTCCATTTTTGGCCTGATCTGGCTTTTATTATTCTTATATATATATATATATATATATATATATATATATATATATATATATATATATATATCATCACTTTAAATGTTATTTTTAGAGGATAATTCACCATTTATTCATTAAACAGTATATTTATTTATTTTCATCTATTGGCCTGAATGTGTGAGAATTCCTATTAAAAAGAAATTTATGCTCTCTGCCAGGATTCAAACCTGCATCCTTCTGGAAAGAGGGAGCTATCATTAAACCCAATATGCTCTGTGTTGTAGCATACCTATGGAAGATAATGGGTATGTCCCCATTCACATAAATACAGTAATAAATATTGTATGTTGGTCTGCAGTTGGAGATTCGTGTCCAGCTGTGTTGTCAAACTCTCTGGCTCCAGACAGAGAGGATCCCCAGATGAGGCTATGTTGAAAGACAGAATCTTGTCTCAGGAAACAGCTACCCATCCCCCTTTTATACATGGTCTGTGGGGAATTTTTGGCTGAGCCTATGGGTTCAGATACCCCACATTAAATGCCACCTCATGACACATCTGACCTCATGGGGCAGTTGGTAGATATCCTGAAGTTGGAGATTCATTGTAGAATTCACTTGACTCACTTCTAGCAGTTGACTACTACTTCTACACACGGCTGGCAAATCTTATATGTGTTGTTCTTGTCCTAAGTATTATCTTTCATTACCAACCTTCGTGTGATTATTCTATTCAGTAACCTTCCTTAGGTTACAACACTTGGACCAAGTAAACAAAAGAACAAATTAGTCAGGCAAGGCCTGAATTGTACTTTTAAGTAAAACTTCTCTCATCTCCCGAATATCTATCTATCTATCTCTCTCTCTCTCTCTCTCTCTCTCTATATATATATATATATATATATATATATATATATATATACAATATTTAAGTTTACTTTTCATCTGTTAGAAAAAATGTATTAAAAACAAGGATAAGATGGTTCATTACGTTTATAAATTAAAATAAAATTTATAAATTAAAATAAAATTTTAAAATTTAAATAAAATTTATAAATTAAAATAAAATTTATAAATTATAATAAATTTTTCAAATTGAAAAAAAACTGTTTATACATAATAATTTTACATTTCATCTGTTGGAATAAAAAATTATTTAATTTACTTTCAAAAATGCATTTCTGTTTGAGTTTCAAATCCAATAAGAAGAAGAAAGAAAGAAAGAAAGAAAGAAAGGAGAATAGAGTTTGAAAGAATGTGTAATGTACATGCCAAGATTGTGCCAATTGTCAATGAATCCTTTGGGTCAATTCCAAAGAATCTTGAGGAACATCTTGATACCATTGGAATCACAACCAGCATAAGTACCATCTTTGGCAGAGCAAATATCCTGTGGAAAGTACTTACTGTCTGAGTACTTAAGAGTTGACAGAGAGTCACTTAAATTTATTTTCAGTGTTTTAAACTACCACCATATAAATTTCTGTATAATAATAATAATAATTTCTTTTTCTCAAGCAGATTCTATGCCATAATTTAATGACAATCAGGAGTAATTTATAACAAATGACTGTAGGTCCAGTTATTTCTTTTCCTCTCTACACCAAAACCTTTCTTCAAATTCTGGTTGATCAATGCAGTGCTGTTTTCTGAAGCATTTCAAAATGGATCACAGTCTCATTCTTACCCAACCATTTTGTCTGCTAAAGGGTGTACACGGCAACAGGAAAAACTACATTCTGAAGCCCCCACAAACATGCTATCTCATGTTTCAAATCTTCATACCTTTCTCCTTTTGTTTCCTGGAGAGCCAAATTTAAATTCTAGTCATGTTTGTTACATCCACTTACATACAAATGCCCTTTGGAAAAGTATGAATCCATCTCCTCCTCCCAACAATGGGTTAAATAGTAGGACTTGTATCTGGAAAAATCATTGTTACTGTTCCAAAAATTATTAATGCAATATTCACTTATAAAACTGCATTATTCATACAATCTAAAATATTTTTTGACTTTAAATAACACACAAAGGGTTGATAAGCCATAAAAACAAAACACTCAATCTCCCTTCTTTTCTTTCTAACATACTTATGTCTCCTGGTGTCACTATATTCATAATCCAATACTATTTCTCTTCTTTCTGGACTGTTTAGCCTTCTTGCTTCAGTTACATTATCACTTTATTATTATTATTATTATTATTATTATTATTATTATTATTATTATTATTATTATTTCTTTTAATTTTTGTTGAATACACATTTCTTTCCAGGCTCCAACCAGATACTTAAAGTCAGAAATGGCTTTATGACATTTTTCACTGATCATTTTTGTCAAAAACAAAACAAAAAAACCCAAGACTACACACATTTATATAGATAAAGCTCTTCATAATGTATGAGTTGTACTTGTGAATACAATTTTTTGTATTTCATAAAGGCATATGGGCTACCAGGAATTCCTTCAATGAGTCTCTTGAAACTATTCCCAATCAATCCGAGGGCTCCAACAATAACTGGAATGTGTTGTGTCACATTTTTGAGATTTCCATTTCAAGATCCTTTTATCTTGATAGTTTTTTAAGATACATAACAATCTGCAGAGACTGCCATGTCATTATGAAAGCAACATTCTGTTTTTGTGGTCTTTGATCATGATGTCTGGCCAATTAGCTTTGATTGTTTTGTCTGTGTGGATTGTAAAGCCCCATAAAATTGTTACTGGTGCTGTCTTTTTCACCAGGTTTGGTGATGTTCATACCAGTTTCTTGGAGTTTCATTCTCATAAAAGTTGCATATTTTTCAGTGCAGATATTGGTCCACAATATCATGCAAATTCTATATTCAGTGGGTACTAATACTACACATACTGATACAAGATGGTCAATTGTTTCTTGATATTTTTCAGTATGTGTGCTTGGTAATTTCAAATTAACAGGCACTGGTCCTGTGTAGCAAGAAAAAACCTTCGGTTTAAACTTTTGATGCAGCTCTATGTAATTACTAATGGGTATGGGATTTGTCTACATCAGCTTGTTTGGTATGGGCAGAGTATTGAACATGAAGAGGCTTATCTTGCCATCGTATTTGTTTTTGTTTTCTTTTTTAGGTTCTTTAACACTGCAGTAGGTGCATTATGATTTGTTTTCACTTCTTCCCCCTCTTAAAATTCCCTTTTGAATCCGTTGACTTCCTTTATCACTGAATAAAGTTTCTTATTTCTTTCATATTCTTTGATGCACATCCTCATCCAGTCTTCTGTAGTTTCCAGGTATCTTTGAAGATCAATTGTTATGGTTCTGTAAGAGAGTTTTTGATGAACTAATCCTCCTTCCGCCTTTGGATCTGGACACATACAGACAATCAACTTCGACCTTAGGATGATGTATGCAGTGGCAAGTGAGAAACTTTCTCATTTTGACATCCATTTGCTTAATGTCAATTATGGTCCAATTAAGGATATTGAAACTGTATTGCACCACATCCAAAGTGTTTATGGCTGATATTCTGTTTTGAGAATTCAATTCAGTATTTATGACCTGATGCACATGCCTGTAGTATTTGTTTCTTACTTTCTCCTTCATTTGGCTATGCTGTATTCTATCTCCTTTGCTGACTCTTAGGTATTTATAGGCTTCTTCTTCTTCTTCTTCTTCTTATTATTATTATTATTATTATTATTATTATTATGATTATCTATCCTATAGTATAAAATATAAAAATACAATGTAATTTAATATATTTATCAATCATACTGCTTGTTCTTCTCTAATTGCTATTTCATTGTTACTATCACCACAGAAATCTGGCTGTCAATTCATTGCTTTTTATTCCTTTTGTTTTGTTTACATTTATTCAAAAAACTTTTACTTGAAAGAGACAAATGTTTTTAACATACTACAAAAGATTTGTTGGGATAAAAATCCTTGATTGCTCATGCAGAAAATATAACTAATAAAACTGCAAAATTAATTAAATATGGTTGCCATTTTTTGATTGTACAAACAAAGTATTAATAATAAAGGAAAAGGAATAGGCATAAAAGATCAAGAAAGGTTAAGACTGTTGAAATTATGACATTGCCTGGGTCTGTAAGAATACTGAGGAAGATCTTGAATATATTAAATTAATTGAATATGGCCAACATTTTGTGACAGTACAATTTGTGTTAACTTCCTTGGATATTTTTACTTGTAATGATTTAAAAAGTAGAATTCTTTCTTACATGTAACAAGGGAGTTATTTGTATAGATAACAGAATTCTAGTTTGTGAGTAGAGGAGATCAGGCGGCTAATACATTGCTTTTTATTTGTTTTGTGTTAACTTCCTTTTGATCTTTTACTTTTAATGATTTAAAAATCAGAATTCTTTCTTACATACAATAAGAGATTTAATTGTATAGACAAAAATCCTAAATGACTCATGCAGAAAATATAATAATTGTAAGTACAAAATTACTCAAATATGGTCATCAGTTTTTGATGGTGTGGATCATGTCTGCTTTCTTTGGCTATTTTCGATTTTAATGATTTCTTTCTTAGATGCAACAATAGAGTTTGTTGTATAGATAAAAATCCTTGATTCCTTATGCAAAAAATATAACCAATGCAATTACTAAATAACTAAAAGTATTTCTGTTATATTTTGACAGTATGGGTAAACTAGTTTAGTGATTAGCTACTTCAATAATTAAATGTACAAGGTTTCTTACAGGAACGTTTTATAGTACATGAAATAGTGATGGTGAAAAGAGTACATGCACAAGATAACTAACCAATTGATTTGCAATGCAAAGATAACATTTATTAAAGCAAAATTAACAAAAGAAAACTTTAAAACAAGAGTTTCTTTTGTTAAACATAAATAAACCCAATGAAATGTTCATTGATATGCTATAGTGGGAACTTACTTTGTTGGTGTGTTTCATGTGAAGCATTTGCAGCCCTTTTAGTTTCAGCATAAAAAGTTGAAAGAGGAAAAACCCCGAAAGAAGAGAATTTCTTTAAGGTTCACATGTTTTTTATATTCAAGATCTGCTGCTGATACAAGGTTTATTTAAGCTGCTACTGCTAAGTTTTATTTTAGGGTCACTACTGCTACTATCTTTAATGTCACTACACTAGAATTATAGAGAAACGAGCTGAAAATTTCTCACTTAATACAAAAATTCTTCGCCACAAAAATTCTGATATTTTGTCATTTGTTTAGATTTTCAGAAATGGACTCAGCCAAGAACATTTCACCTGATATCTGAAATATATATACTTACTCCAGTGGTATTGGTCCAACTGTCCATTCCATTTCAACTGTTATGGAGTCATTGTATAATCTTAAAACCTGTTTGGCCCAAGACGAATATTCCAAATAGACTTCAGTAACCAATGGACCCTGTAATGACAATAAATGAAACATTATTAGGAGAATGCTTGCTAAATTCACTTCCTGCAATGGAAGAGTCAAGTCTTATCAGCAAAGCTATTAGTTGATTTCAAAATTGATTTTTATTTATCAAGGGTTTATTGTTAAAAAATAAATGTAATATGTTTGGATTCTGGCAATTTTTAAAAGGTCATCTATGTTATTTACACTATTTACATCATTCTGACTGTTGTCCTCATATTTATTGCCATATTCACAACATTTCAACCATTGTATGCTCTGGCCTTTTTCAGATGATATACATTAGAATATATACCTCCAATTATTAGCTGTTTCAGGGGGAAAACCCATTAATTTGAAAATTCTTGCAAAAATCAAATAATTGTCTAATTTTAATGAAACTTTCAGGACTTATTCAAAAAATTATTTTTGAAATTTTTATTTTTAGAAAATCTTGCTAAAAATATTTTCTTTTTTTTACATCTGTTACACCCCATAAATTAATTTTATGAAATTTTCTAGAATTTCCAAGTGGACGCAAATAGTTTTATAAGCAGGACACCTTGGAGAAATTAAATCATCAGTTTTTTTTTTTCAACTACTGCTAACTTTTTTTTAAAAATCTGCTCCAAATTGTAAAATAAAAACTGCAATAAACTATCCAATTATCAAATTAGATAGGCTTTTACCTGCTTTTATAAATAATATACATTAAGGACATTATTATCTGAAGAAAATTTTTTTTTCGATGAATAAAGAATTTTTACAAGAATTGTTTGCATTTTTCTTTTAGTTTTTCATTTTTTTTTCATTTTTCTTTAATTTTAAAAAAATGTTTTAAAATTCTTTCATGCAGAGTGTGGGGTCGGTTATTAAGTTTTTAAGTGAAGATTATATTTACTAAGCGAAAATTAAAAGCTTAATACAAATAATGATACCAAAACATTTTACCACAATTAAAATTTTTTTTTTGTGCATCAAAATGTTATATTTTTTTTAGTATGATATCTCATAAGTGATATTATGGTTAAAAGGTCACGTGTTTCAAAGCTTGTCTCCTCCTTGGGAAAAACCCCTTGACATGTAAAGGTCTTATCTCACTCACAGTTATTAAATTAAAAATTAAATTGAGATAATAAAATTATCTCATTTATCAATTGAAACAATTAATAAGTGAGATATTTTAATTATTAATATAATAACTTTATTAGTTATTATCTCAGTTATTAAATTATAAATGTAATAACTTAATGTAATATTAATAATTAATAAAATTATTTATCATTAAATATTAAAGAGACAGAGGTAACTCAATAATGTAAGAAAACTATAGTATTCTAAATTATTATAAGTAACAAAAAAAAAAGTTATGTCACTTTTGATGCTAAACCTGTCAACACATTCAGCCATCAAATTATCAATGGAGACATGAAAATAACAAGACCCCGAGGACAAGAAATGTTTGTCTAGAAAATTTTATGCTACAAGTAAGTGATTTTTGTTTCAGAACAGATTAATTTAACTTTAAATTTGCTAATTTTATGAAAGTAACATTTCAGAAATGTATATCTTATTTTAGCAGGATTTTCAAAACCGAAAAATAAGTTTGTTTACATTTCTCTAAAAAAAGTTAAAAATGGCCATTTTGATTGGTTTTTCGGAAGCATCGACTAAAAATCAATTAAATTTCTGTATGAAATACTCCACAGTATTTTTTTTCTGGAATTAGAAAATTTAATCCTTTAGCTTTCAATTGAAGCAGTTGGAAAGCTTTGAAAAGGATTTTTCCTTTATGAAAAATACATTTAAACCTTAGGTATACCAAATTTTTTGGAGATACCTACATTAGAATTTCAAACCAAACCCTTTATTTAGTCCACAGAGACAGATTCTTATAATTTCACATGCTATGCCTTTTTTTTTTTTTAAAGTTTCAGTTAATTCCCTTTAGTAACTCAACTCTCCAAGTTTTTGTTCCCTTTGCCAGGTATTGAACTCACAACTCTTTGGGTCAAGTCTATTTTACATCACTCAACCAATGTTTTGATCACCAAGGACACATGGCTCAGTGGATAAAAACATTGAGTGAAGTAATTAGCCAGCCTGCGCATCATCACCAAGTAAGAACTTACAGTATCGAGCATGAAATTTCTTTTAGTGCAGCAAAACAGTGAACTGGGACAAACCAAACATCAAAAGCAATAACCCCAAAAAAGAAAAGCTTCAGTCTAAAGGGTCCAAAACTCTCAGTGGGCTGTGTGCTCAAATGACATTAAACCTGTAAGAAGGTTCATCTGCCCTTTGACAGGTCATGTTTTTAATCCTGCAAGGTGTATGTCCTCTACCATCATCAGAAAAAGCAATGAGACAGTTGAGGTTTCTATAGCACATAATGAGGAAAGATGGCTTGGAAAATTTGATCCTCATCGGACAGATTGAAAGCAAGAGCGACAGAGGAAAACATATGCATAACATTTAGTGAGCTTGGGTAAATGGATGGCAGAACAGGGTGTAGGAGAAATAACAGAAAGACACAATTTATTAAGAGCTTCAAGGGATAGGAAGTTGGGAAGAGCCACGATCGCCTACTTCTTAAGGAGATATGGCACATAAAGAAGATTAATTTATAGCTAAAGGTTTTCAAATTAAAAGCCCTGTGACATAAGAATCTATCACATTCACTGCTTAATCAAATATAAAGTAAATATTTTAAGTTTCAAAGGACATAAAATAAATTAGATATACATATTTTGGCAATGTTACTTTGTGCTTGATAAATTTTGAAAAATTGCTTTCTTCAGGTTTTTCTTTGATTTGATCTCATTTTGGTTGAGAGCATCTCTTCCGCTTATATATTTTGATAATTTTGAATTTTTTTATAAATTTTTAATAAAAAGATTTCTTTTCAAATTTATTTCTTTATAAAATGGTAAATAATACATTTTTAGAAAAAGGTAAATAATAAATATTGCATTGTACTTGGTAATATATTTCTTTAGAATCTTGTAAATAAACATTGTTGAGGGAGTCAAAAGTGTATACAGTTAAAACAGTGTAAAGGGAATAGCCATGCTTTTGAGGCACCATTTTTTGCACCATTGCTGATAACAAAATTTTCTAATAAAATTAGTCAGAAATTCAGGTTTTTTATTGAATTTCTGATTAATTTGTTTTGTATCTCTGAACTTTTGTTACTCTCTGGATATAAGTAGACATAAGTTTATGGACATAAATAAAAGGTCATATGCAAAAGATAACAAATCCAAATCTATATAAAAAAGGCATAATTTTGCAAGAGGAACCAGAAATTTCTTTCTTTTTTTTTTGTTACTTACAGTGAAAATGGTCACATCAGTGGCATTGAAATTGAATACATTTGGTCTGTTATCCTCTGGTCGGAAGATGTAGGGTCCTGATGGTTGGTCATAGTTCAAAGCTGATTTGTAATACATTAAACTCTGTTGGAATGTGGTTGTGATTTGCTTGTGCTTGTTGGTCAGACGAACTGGCAGACCAGTCCAGTGGCTAAATTCCATTTCAATAAACTTTAAAACAAAAGAATTTTAAAAAAAGTGTAAAAGATCAAGAAAATTTCAAGTCATTTCATTTGTGTAATACAAAAATATTTCTTTAAAGAATTGCTTACATTTTATGGCTTAAATAATGAAAATGTTACATTTTATATATATATATATATATATATATATATATATCTGAGGTTTTGTCTATATTTCTGAGATGAGGTATTATGTACAGTATTTACATTAGTCGGACTATTGTCCTCATCTTTTGTCCTCATCTTTATGACTGAACCATATTTGTCACAACGTTTAGGCTTGTTGTACACTCCATGTTCCCTTCTTCAGGTGGTTGAAATTTCGAACTGAACCCTTTATTTTGATCACTGGGGTGAGCTATTCTAATTCCACGTGCCATGTTTGATGGATGTCAGTTATCAGTTATCTCCTGATAATTTTCCCTCTGAAACTTCTGGACCCTTAACCATTTTTTGGTTTGGCAGTGGAGAACTTTCAGAGGGAAAATTAGCAGGAGAAATATGCCGACATTATTCAAACATGTGGAATTAGAACAGTCTACCCCAGTGATCAAGAAATAAAGGGTCTAGTTCGAAACGAAACCACCTGAAGTGAAGGAGCGCATAACAACAAAACGTCTGTGACAAAATGCTGACCATAAAGATGAGGAAAAAGATGAGGACAATATTTTGACTAATGTAAAACTATATATATATATATATATATATGTTGAAAAAAGTGTGTGTCATAAATATAAATATATGTGTAATATATACACATATATTATTATTTATATATTATATGCGCGGTACTTATTAGAAAGCGCTCAATATCAGAGATAGAGCTAACATATTTGGTTGGATTGATGTGAGTTTGTAACCCTGGCTTTCATGCTTTTGCAATCATCAGGCAAACTGATTAATTTTTAAAAAATTTTGGATTTATGTAGATTGCATGTATTGGTGTTATTATGGAAGTGGGGGGAAAATCGTTGTCATGATGTCCCTCATGCTAACGCAAACATAGATGCATGTCTGTACACCCACTGAGGTACACAGACACACATACACATGCACTCACCTGCTGGGGCTAATACAAACATAAACATATGTGGACAGTATGAGACTTGACATATGTATGTATATGTGTGCAGTTGTCTACATACATATGCATTTGGTTACTGAAACTCAAACATGGGATGTGTAGCAAATATTTCTCGTGAATGTTTACATGTCAACAATCAGACCATTTGTGTGTTCATTGACATCAAAAAAATATATATATATATATATATATATATATATATATATATATATTTAGTTTATGAAAAACTAGGTAATCCGTATGGGTAAACCTAAGGAGGATAAAATCCAGAGAGCTCAATGTAAATCCAGAGCAAATAATTTAAATAAAAACAGACCACGTTAAGGTTCCATGTAATAAATTATTTCACCATAGCCCTTTTAAAGGACTGCGGATCCTCAGACTTTACTTCCAAACAAAAAATGAAAAAAAAAATTTACACATTTTTGACAGGCCGTATTAAACATATGTAAATTAACGAAGTGAGGAAGTGAGGGTGGGGAGAGAAGACATGAGTGAGTTAGCAGACATTGACACATTTAAACGGTTAACTTAACGGAAGTTATATATTGATATTGAAGGGGTAGAGAAGAAAAAACCAATAGAAAGAAAAAGAGATAAGGAAGTTATGAGAAAAAGTGTCACTAATTTTCTTTGTAAAAAAAGGCTAGAAACAGAAATAGTACTTGCTTGATAATGCTTGCTTGAATAGTAACCTGAATACTGATCCATATAAAGAAATACTATAGTGAATAGAGAATAACAGTTCGTATAGTAATAAAGAATAGAGTAGAAATAGTGATCCAAATAGTAATAGACAATAGACTAGGAAAGGAGATCAATTAGACGCATGTTACCTCCCATATATGCATTTCCTCTATGGTCATGTGGTTGGTCTACTTAATTCAAATAATGACTCTGTCTGTGCTTGCTCACTGGTGATCTATGTTCAAACTCAAGTGTTGTCAGTGACACTTTATTCCTATATAACAATATATATATATATATATATACATATATATATATATAATTTTGAGGGGTCTACCCCTTTTTACACCCAGTATATACATATACTACGGCTACGGGAAGACCCGAGTGGTAAGACGAGAGTGAGATGAGAGCAAGACCGAAGATTCGAGTCCAGAGTGACAGAGTAAAAGGTTGTAGGTAACCGGAAGAGTGAGGGCGAGATAACAGCATTGTAGGAGTCACAGTGAGCGAGCACGTAGACTCAGTAAGAAGTCATACAGCGATACTTCAATACCAAAGACTGTATATATATATATTTACTACTAACCCATATTCCTGGAACTACTAACCTGCTTTACCATTTTGTATTATTACGTTAATACATTATTTTCATATATTCATTCCTGGTGTTTGTTATTTATTAGTACCGGATTTCAACCCAGAATCCACAAACATATATATATATATATATATATATATATATATATATATATATATACAGGGTGTCCATAAAGTCTCTACAATTTAAAAAATATATTACAAAGGCAATTAATGAGATATCTTAATCAGATTTGTTCTATGTATTCATTTGTTATGAAAGTTTTCAATCACATTGCATTTGTGTATTTCAGGTATCCTTTTGATGAAAAAGGTTAAATGAACCCCTAACATTTCTTGAGCAGTGAATTGGAAGTGATGTTTCAATTCTACTGCTGCCTCATTCACCAGATATCACTCACCTGGACATCTTTCTATGGGGTCAAATGTTAAAGATATTATGTATCGAACAAAGATACAGGACAATACTCATCTAAAGCAAAAGATCACTGATGCCATTGCCACTATTGATGAGGCTATGCTACATTGAAAATGGCAAGAAATTAAGTACCATCTTGATGTGTTTCATGCAATTAATGGTGCCAATATAGATGTGTATTAAATTAGTTAAAAAAAAATTCAATATCTACTCCTCATTTTGTAACAATTTCTACATATTTATCTGTTCATTTGTTTTTGTAATGAATTTTTTAAATCGTAAAGAGACTTTATGGACACCCTGTATATATAGATCTTTCTCTCCCTCCCTGTCTGTCTTTATATATATATATATATATATATATATGCAGCATAACTTCATTCCAACATGTCTCATTGAATAAAAATTGTCTACTTATTTTTATACTGATCCTTTCCAGTTATCTGATCAGTTTCTTGATGCTAAGATGAAATTCATCAAGGAAGGTGCCATAGTTTGTTCTAAACTAAGTACTTTCAATCTTTTCCAAGATCACCTTCATTATAAAAAATAGACAGACATATTATGCCTATATTATTCAATGAAATATATTTGTCATTTAGCTGATTGATGTTACCTTCAACATTCCGATTCTAAAGTTTTATAAACGGACCCACTAGCAATTTCTCCACCCACTCATCAATACATTATATATATATATATATGTGTGTGTGTGTGTGTGTGCGTGTGTAAAGAAAGGCAATGGATTCCTTATTTATTAATCTGACAGGCTTTTATTACTTGAATATTATTTTTAGTGGATACTCATATTTGAGTAGACACTCCATTTATTTATTAAATAGTACATTTATTTATTTTTGTCTATCTTATTAGAGAAAAATATATGCTCTCTGGTAGGATTCAAACCTGTGTTGCCTAGGGGAAACCATCATTAGATCTGATGTGCTTTGATTTAACATATATATATATATATATATATATATATATATATATATATATATAAGATTTAAAATTTAAGAATGTAGTAGTTCGAAAGTAAAGCAGATATTTTCATATAGTGCTCAATATTAAAAATATTAAAATAATATTAATATTAAAAATAGAGCATTGGTAATATTATATACAGAAAAATTACTTAACTTTAAGTATCAATTTCTTGGAAATTTCCATTCTTTAAGGGGTCTGTTGCTTGAATAAATTTATTTTCATTTTTTTTTCTCAATTTTTTTGGGTCTTTTTTAATACGTTGTGTAAATGCGGATATTCATGAGTTTTATGTTTTTTTTACACATGCACATTCATGAATTTTTGCTTTTGTTTATGTATTCATTCATAAGTGTCATAATTTTTACAATTGTAAATTTTTCTTACAAATTAGAATTTTTTCAATTAGAATTTTTCATATGCATGGTTTGTATTGAAGTTGTTATGTTGCTAACTGAACAGGCAGGTAAATGTTGTTAATACTGTTTATTATAAACAGAGCATTTACTTAAATATTTGTATCTATAAAAAGAATGTATAAACATAAAAAAATGTCATAAATATTATGTTGTATTAGCTATATTATATTATACTATTTTTAAAGTAACAAAGTTAATATTTGTTAAAATGTTGACATCAACCCATTATCTCATTCTTCTTATTTAATAATTTAATTTAGTTATTAAAAGTTAATACTGATAATTTTTCTTCTAAACACAGTCTGCAATTCCTTTGGTGATATTATATGGGGATACATTTTTTTATAATTTCCCATTTAATTTTAGTAGGTATATTGTTTTCTTTTTGACTCCATATATATTTTGATAATGTACTATTTGTATCTGTAATAGCACAACATTATCAAAACATATACAGTAATATACACATTGTAATAGTACACAATAGATTAAAAGAGACGTATAAAAATTTGAAATAAACTTATTCAAACAACAGACTCCTTGAAGAATGGATACTTCCAAGAAACTTTAAAGTTGGGAAAACAACATCAAAATTTGATATTTACAGTTAAGTAATTTTTCTGTATATATATATATATATATATATATATATATATATATCCTTGGATGGAGTATTGCTGCCATATATCGTCTGGAGCTTTCTACCTTGCTTGGGGTGATTTGACTAAAATATATATATATATATATATATATATATATGGACACACTGCATGTATGGATACATATGTTATGCGTGCATGCATTTGTAGGTAAAGAGGGATGCAAATGAAATTTTAATATTTTATATTTGAGAAAATTTTCAAATATGTTAAAAAGTATAATATTTTTAGAGGTGTCATGTAAATTTGATATATTTCATATACATTGATATAAATGAAAAAAGAGAAGGGATTTTAAAGTGAAAGAACTTACCTGATTTGAAATTATTTTGTTTGTATGGCTTAGTTTGGACTCAACTGACAACTGTGATGACACCGCTGACAATAGAAAATGAAGACATCTTTATTTATAAAATTTACACATGAAAATATGTAACAATTATTTAAAAGCCAAAAGATGTCCTTAATAATAGCAAGAATCATCAACAGAAAATAATCAATCACAGAAAGCATTTGTTCAGGCAGTTAATTTAATCCAAGATTTATCCACTTGGAAGATGAAAGGAATGAGCCACAAGAACAAAGAAAAAAAAAAAATGATTCTAAATGTTTTTTCTTTATGGGCTATACTCACAGGACAGATAGAACGTAAGAGAAAACAGATGAAAGCAACATAAGCTTCAGTGAGTGGATGTTACAGTAGGTTTTGGAGGAGGTGGCAAAAAGACAAACGCTATTAATAGCTAGAAAGTATAGGAAATTGTGGAGAGCCATGATCACCAATAGGACATGACACATAGAAGAATTAGAAGAGAAGAGAGAGGAAACATTCTATATTCATTAATTGATCAGTTAGTGTTACTTTTAGTTGTAATTTGTAAAACCATTTTTCAAACAGATTTCAGGAAATTAGATTTCTCAAGTCCACTCTAGTTATGGCTCTTTCTAACACTGATGGAAATTTCCTTACAAGCCTTTTAAGGTAATGTAGAAAGTCAACATCTTGATTATATCACTATTTTCATTCTAGTTATATATGCTACCTATTTTTGTTGTTGCTGCTTGAAGTAGTTTATGTTATAATGGGAGTGAGCTATGGAAGATAGGTTTATTCTTCCCTTTACATTTCTCCCATTATGGGCATTATTATATCTATGATATAATAACACTGTACTTGGGACAGAATGGAATGGCTAAAAGTAAAAGGAATGAGAAAAATTGCTTTGTTCTCAGAGAGACTTTTATACCAGTAAGACATACACAAAAATATACATACATATTTACATGTGTCCCACACAGAGAAAAATATAACATATATCTTCATGGTAAGCAGAGTGAAAGGAGAATGAAAAGATAGACTCTTACATATAATATGGAGATTATTCTGTGTTTCTGGAGAAGCCATACTTAGGACTCCAGATTCAAATGGACTGGATTCATTTACTATATCACAAACAAGGACATATTACATAAACAGGAAACAGTGGTTCTTTGGTTTCCCAAATTGAGAACTGCAAGCCAGAGTTTCTTTCAATATGTGAGAAAGATATAGTTCCAAAGAGAAATGTGCTTATTAGCTGCTGGAGGAGGAACAGTTAACCTGAACTAAACAAACGACTGGTTCATTTAGATCCTGTAAGTGAACTGTTTAACTGGCCATTTTTGTCACTGTATGAAGTGATATCATTAAGTGGGTGTCACGTGATCCACAAGACTATCTTGATCAAAGGGAGATAATCGCCTTTTGTATCCCTACAATGTTATTTAGCAAAGCTTTTTGTTTGCGATTCTGTAGCACCAGACTATAGGGGCTGGTGAAGTATTGTCTTCTTTAAGACCTGAAGCACTCATTTGCTTGAAACTATTTTTAATCATTGATCTGAGGAAATGTTTGCATACAGAAGATATTTTAGATGTTTTTCAATGAGTTGAATGCTCTGCATGGCATTTGTATTAGAGTCTACATCTAACGAAGCTGTTTAAGTACATGATTTGAGTTATCAGGTTAATATTTTTTGTTTTGTAGTATCTTATGGTGCTTGGCCAAAGTAACCCTGATTATTAAAGAAAGATTTTTAATATGAGAGAAGAAACTATGTGAAGGCACTGAAAACAGAACATAGTATTATACACTAACAACAAAAATTACCCTCACTAATTTCTACACAATCTCAGTCCTGTAAAAACTGAATAAAAAACCTCAAAGTTTTCCTTATCCATCACATTCAACAAAACATATATAATAAGAAGGACTGCTGTCCAAATATACAGTAGGATTACATATGTGTGTAGTGTTTGTCATCTGTTCATCTTGAGAGAGTCTAGATCTGTACCTGAGAAGTTTGATTTATTCTTTTTAATTCAGTTTGTGGTGGTAGTGTAACATCTGTTTAACAAATCAAGCACAGGTGAGGTGATACTGGAGAATCCTACTCTAGACAGAATTATTTTATGAAAGGCTGACAATTGCCCAATAGCATGCTTCCTTTCTCCACATCTACAGGGTTGTTCAAGGAGAGGCCAGGGGCCAAAACTGTAGTTGTTGCAGAAGTTATTGTAAAAAAAAGACTGAAAATAATGGAAACACAATTAATAAAAAAGAAAAAGCCAACACTTAATAACATCAACTATGAACATACCAACAATGTCCATGTTTGTAAAATAAAAATACATTCCTATAACTCTAAATACATATATAAAAAATTCATACATTCAGTTAAAAATAGAAATAAAAAAATCATCCTTGATAATAGCTAATAGAATAGCCAGAAGTACTCAGATATACAAAACATTTGGACAATTTTTACACATTTTATATACAGAAAAGAAAACACTTATATGAAGACAAGAAAAATTAAATAAAAAGTTTAATCACAGTACCTTGTCAGTCATCTTTAATGAAACTTGTATGGAAGAGGGATTGTTGCCCAAATACTCAATTATATATATATATATATATATATATATATATATATATATATATATATATATATATGTATACTACAGTTCAAGAGTTTGAAACCCCGAGAATTATCATGGGATTGGGATGAACTTGACAGAAGAATGAAAAAAAATGAAAAGAACTCTTACAGTCATTAAAAAATAAATGGAATCAATTATTAAACTTATATTTTGAGAAACTTTTGCAACAAATGCCAAAAATTTAGGCAGCAGTAATCAATTCTAAAGGAGGATATTTTAATGATAGCAAAATTTAATCATAAAATGCTTTTTTTCTTTTTGTCATAATAAAAATTCTAACAAAAATCATGTCTCACATTTTTTAACCATGTATAATAATTTCTTCTTATTTAAAGTACAAAACAACTACTTTTTGGGCCAATTTAAAAAATACCCGGTGTGTCCTCAAACTTTTCAACTATAGTGTATGTATTTGTATATATTTTTTATCCAACATTATTTCTTATTACTATAAACCTTTTACTTTCAATCTCGGCCGGTTGTTATTAATTCAGTTTTAAAAAAATATATTAAATATATATATTTATATTTATTATTTGCTATGTTAGTATATGACAATTATAGTACATGAAAATTGATTGATTTGTTATCTATGGCTTATCAACTTTTTGAAGGTTACTTAAAGCCAGAAAAAAATTTTAAATTGGAATTTTTTTTGAGATAATAATAGTAATATAAAAATAATTTTTGAGATAATAATAGTGATACAAATCTTACTAATGATCTATAGCTTGGGAGAGAAAAGGTGGATTCATACCTTTGCCAATAGGTATTTGCATGTAAATGAACATGATGAAGCCAATGTAAAATGACATCACTTCACACATCCAAGCTTGGAACACCTGGTATTCCTAAGAGATCATTCCCCTAAGTACTGACTAGGCTCAGTATTGTTTAACTAGTGTAAGTGAAAGCATTGATGTTTAGTAAATCAGTAAGAAAAACAAATAGTATTCATTATTAGTATTAATTATTATTAATTAGTAGTAGTATTAATTACCTAAAATTACTTACGTTTTTTGGTATTTCTAACAAAGTAAGTGGTATAACCAAGTGCAGGAAGATAAGCACGGAAGATGAGTTCATGAGTTGCCTTGGAATCTTGACGTTCAGGAATTTGCTGAGTGCTGTTCATGATTTTAACGAGCTGCAATGACAAATAGAGAAGTGCAATAAATATTCTTGTGAATACTTTAATAAATATCTTTAAGTATCACTACTGATTTACTAAAAGATTAATATACCATGATGAAAAAATACCTCAGACTTAATAAAAGCAATGATGTATCATCAAAGTCTTTATGTAATTATTAAGATAAAAGACCAAATGATTTTTTGATTATTAAATTAAAATTTTTTATTCTTTTTAGAACATTTGAAATTTTGTAAATTAGTATTTGAAACAGACACCCCATTTTAGTAGAAGAGACGCTTACGTTTAACTATTTTGACAGTAAAAGAGTGGGATTGAGATGTCAACCTAGTAGCATGCTTAAATTCATGCAGTCGGGGGCATCAATGAAAATAGCTCGTCAGAGTAGATACCATGAAAATATTTATAGAAAAGACAGAGGGAAGCCATATTACATCAGTGAGAAAGTGACTGGAGTCATGAACCCGTCAGGACCAATCACATTGCATATCCATCTTTGGATTTTGTTGAGAACTTTGAGATGAACAGTAGGGGGCACCAGATCATATATGGCAGCAGTATTCCATGCATGGATGACTGATAGATTTGTAGATGTGAAGGATGGACGAGAAAAACCTTCTGGTGCAATACAGAGAACCAATTTTCCTTGTGGTAGATGCAGCTATTGACTCAATGTAGTTGTTCCACCTCAGGTTAGTGGAGAATGTCAGACCAATAAGGCAGAGTAAGGCAATCTTGTGGAGTTGATTATCAACCATGCTGATAATAGGAGGTAGAGAACTATCTCTATGGTGAATAAGTGACAGCAGTTTTGTTTTGGATGCATTAAAATTCACAAGCTATTTCCTGCTCCAGTCAACTACAGATTGGAGGTTGTTTTTGAGACCAAAGACCAGGTTAACTTTGTCAGCAATGACAGATTTACTATTGAGACAGGAGTAAATGGTAGTGTCATCTGCATAGATGCCTACTTGAGAACTGATAACATCAGGAAGATCATTGATGAAGATCAGAAACAGTGTAGGACTAAAGATAGAGCCTTGAGGAGCACCAGTCTTCGATATGGAAAAAACTGAAAGAGAATCCATTCAGGACAACTTTCATATCACGGTTAGACAGGAATGGTTGGATAAATCAAATAATCATCCTGTAATACTGTATCCCTGAAGGTTACACAGAAGGCCAGCATACCAAACCTTGTCAACTGCCTTCAATATATCTAGAGCAACAGCTTGAGCTTGGTATACATATTCAGTTATGGCCATAAGCACATCACTTGTAGACTGAGCAAAGCAGAAACCATATAGTTTGTCAGAGAGCAGATTGTGGGAAGTGAGATGCTTCAGTATTGATTAAAGCCTCAAAGACTTTGCAGAAGAGTGGCAGGAGACTGATGGGATGATAGATGGGTCAGAAGGGTCTCCAGAGTTCATAAAAACTGGACTGACAGAGGAGAACTTCTAACAGGCTGGAAAGCAAGAATCAGTGATGCAATAGTTGTATAGTTTGGAGAGAACTGGACCCAGCTCAGGGGCACATTTCTTTAGGACTACGGCTAGTATCCTGTCACCACCACTTGCTTTATGAGAGTCTAATTTACCATCAGTAGGGATATCCACATCTCACTCAGTATATCCTCAGTTCTAGGGGGAAAATCAGGTGTGGGTACCCCAGATTTATTTTTCTCAACTGGAGTAGACAGGTTCACCTATCATCCAGTTCACACTCCTCCCTATATACCATATTTTAAATCACTCAGTTTTCCTAAAGTATTTAGCACATTCTTATTTTTTACACTTTAAAATGAACATCATTTGAAAACACCAAAAGAGAAATAGGAGAGACGAGGAGAAGCAGAAAGAAAAGTTCAAGCTCTCCATCCCCTAAACCCACCTACACTACAAATGCAGTGGCTGTGGAAAGGCTCTCTTCTGATCCAACATAGGACTCATTTCACACAAAGAAATGTCAATGAGCATCCCAATACTCGGCAACGGGTTCTGCCAGTGACAATGAGTTTTTACATTTTTCACTGGCTTACAACACCTGAAAACAAGTAACATTTGCTTTGAGGAGACAATAATGATAATCAAACTTCCAGAAGAAGATAAGCTCCTAAACAAATGATCAGATCTCATTTCCAAATAAAGATAAGAAAACAAATTTCTAATACGCTACCTACAAGCACATCATGATTGAAAAGAGTAAACAACTAATAACCCATAGCCTAAAACTAATAGACTTTCTTTTAAAGCAGATTCAAATTTGTTTTGATGGGCTTTTCTCCCTGGTGCCTCAACTGCATGAATTTAAGGGTTTTACTAGATTGGCAATTAGGTCTCATCATTCTACTGTTGAATTAGCAAAAGATATAACTGTAAGTTCTATTCTAATAGTTTCTTTTCTTGCGCCTCTCACTTGTGGAAATGCCTTCTGATTTCTTGCTTCCCTGCCATCCATAATCTTCAAAAATTTAAATGCAATGCCAATTGCCATTTTCTGTCTTCTTGAAACCTGTTCTTTTATTGTCCTTTTTCCTCACTAAAGTTTTCTCATTCTTTTTCACTCTCAGTAATCCCTTGCAACTTAGTGGCATTATTGCCTTGGTTAAGATGAAATGATTAAAAATATAAAAGAACTGAATAAAGTATACAAAAATAAAGTGAAATAAAAGGAAACCTCAGTTTATCTAGAGTGAAAGGCTGGAGTAAGAAAGAGGCAATGTTAAAGAGGAAGAGGGTTAGGGAGAGAGATGGGAAAGGGAAAAATATAAATGTAGGTGGAGAAAAAAAGATGGAGAAGCAGAAGAAATTACAGATATAAAATAGAGTAATGTATGGACTTAAAGAAAGACAAAGTGCTAACATGAGAAAAAAAGACACAGAAAGAGAGAAGCAGCGACAAAAATCGAAAGAAGGAGAGAAAAAATCATGAAATAAAACTGCTGAAAGAAAGAATGAGAGAGAAAGAAAGAATGAGAGAGAAAGAAAGAATGAAAAAATGAGAGAGAATGGAAAAGATGGGTCAGTAAACAGAGAAAAGACATTTGTCTTGAGTAAGTTCTTTAATTCTTTAATGTCTATCATTTGTTGATTATCATTCCTGACAGCCTGTCATGGATAACTCTCATCTCAGTGGCAGACGATGTGTTCAAAACAAAGAGGGCGGAGACATCATCATGTTATCAGTGGCACATGAAAAGAAGGTCTGTAGCTCAAAGAAAATAAAATGTACAAATGGTGTAATTACCAGCATCTCAAAGACCGCACACAAATCAAATAAATTCTACATATATGCAAAGATTTTACTGTTAGAGAAATCATATCTATAGATATATATAAAACAGGATAAAGAGCAAATATGAAATGTTTATCAATCTAACATGTTTCACTTTTACTAAAACTTTATCAGAGAATGAGATATAGAGAAAAATAAGTAAGAAATTTTGGCATGTTTATTTTTGTGATGTTTGATTTTCACTGGCTAATCAGGTTTCATGTGCATTTGACTTGTTAAATAACATTAGTATAATTTATTTCATTCCAAATTCTAACTGAGAAAACTGCAAATATTGCTTCATGTATGTAAGTATGTAATAATTCTAGTTTGACCATGATTCTTGCAGCTTTGAAAGGACATGTCATCTTTCCTTGAATTCAGAATGCCATATAATTATACTAATGTTATTTAACAAGTCAAATGTAGATGAAACCTGAAATGACACAAAAATAAAAAATATCAGAATTTCTTTCTTCTTTTTTTCCATATCTCTTTTATTTTTCCAGACATTATTATTATAGTAGTGACACCATATTTGAAATAGACTCCCCATTATATATATATATATATATATAGACACATAAAAGGAAAGCTCAATACATCATTAAAGAGTTTGGTAATAATTTATTTCAGATAGACAACTACCTCATAACTACGAGGTAAATGTCTGTCTAAAATAAATTATTACCAAACTCTTTAATGGTATATTGAGCATTTCCTTTGATGTATATCATATTTTTAATATTTTATATTAAAATACCTATTTGGATTATTCTTACCCCTTACAGATTTGATATTATGATAAAATGATACCAATATTGTGAATAAAATTGATATTTATTATATATTAACCTTTTGACTGGATTGAAGCAGGAAGAGGACAATTTTAATGTCAGAATTTTCAAATACACCTGTGTTCTTTTTCAACAATATGAGGAATAAACAAAGAAGTCAATTCACTTCTTTTGCTTCTTGTTCCTCAAATCAGTCTTTAGTCAAAAGGCTAACTAATATATATCCTATATATATATATATATATATATATATATATATATATATATATATATATATATACTGACTCTCCTGTCGAAATCAACATATGAGGGTCAAGCAGAAAACTGACAGCCTGACGCCAGCACATAAGATTTTATTATAGTGGTGAAGATTTTGTGCAGAACCATCCACACTTTTGAAGGGTTGAATACAGAGACTTGGTGCCACAGGGTTCCCAAACAACCCTTTTGAATTCAGAGTTGTCCTTCTCCTAGATCAGTTACCAACCAAGGCTATTGAACCCAGTCTGTCCTGCTATTTACCCATAGCTGGGGGTGAGAAGAAGAGGATTCATACCTTTCCCATATTAGCACGTAAGTGTATGTCATGGATTCGTCTGGAATTTGAACTCGGTTGTCCGATTCCTATCCATTGCTCCACCATGCCTCCATATACATATATATATATATATAATAAATATCAATCTTATTGCTAATATTGTTATCATTTCTTTGTCTTTATATTCCTCAAATTTCATTAACCAATCAATTAAATCGACATTATTATAAGAAGTACATGTGAACAATCTTTCATTTAATTATATATATATATATATGTATATATATATATAATGGACAAAGACTTGGAGGTAATTGTTATTTGATTGACACACAAGAAAAATGACAGATTTTGTTATTTTAACAAAAGATTGTCTTGTTTACATCATGAATGACTTTAGTTCTTTATCTCATATTGTTACAAAGCCAATGTAGATTATTTTGAAATTGATGTAATGTTACAATAATATCTTAGAGTAATAAATGTTATACAAAAGTACTTCACTTGATCATATACTTCATTGTAGTGTTTTTAATGGAAAAGCTACAATCTCAAAATGAAAAAGAAAACATTGTAGGATATTTGTAGCTCACTGAGTAAATAAATGCTTTTGAAAGATCTTTGATATAAAAATATCAGGAACACAATGATTGAAGCAATAAAGGCTCTTTCTGTCAGCTCAAAGATTGTGAGATTCCTGAAATTTCACTGAGAAATATTTTTTGAATTTCTTTGATTAATTATTAACTAGTCATTCTTTGAACATACATTTGCTATTTTTTATTGCAAAACACAGATCATTTTACATTACTTTTAAGTGAAGAAATAAGGAATTATTTCAAAATAGGATTTGACCTCTCATTCTCTGTCATGGGAAACCTGTTTGACATGAACATTACCTTACTGATCAGGCTACAACTACCAACCACCAGATGTCATTCAAAATTTATAGCTAAATTTTTACTAATCTGACTTTTACTCCTGTAATATGTGTCTTTATTGCATATCATTCCAGAACAGAATTTGCACTCAATGTCAAACCAGATCATCAAGGGAACCAACTACAGTTTTGACCTGAGGTGACCTCCCTAACCACGAGTGCAGAATCACATGACCTCACATTTGCACTTGGGATGCAAACATAGAAAAGAATTATGCTACAGGGAATTATGTAGGTCACCACCCTAGAGAGGAGTTGGGCTTTCTTTCTGACATCATAAATGGGAATGTCATGTCGACATCCAGATGAGGGCTTCAGAGCTGCACATACATTGGCTGAGAGGAATTGATGAAATATTGGAGTGAAATAAAATGTAATGTTAAATATAAAAATATAGAAACGTGTGTAAGATAAAGATGTGTCTTCTCACTGGATTTACTCAATATTTATAGAGAAGCAATGCTGAGAGAATTAAAAGTCATACCAGGATTTATTAGTGGGCACAAACTTAATATTTATAAGATATTAGCAGGCTTTGCCTGCTTCCTATTGCTTCGTAAAATAAGATATATTCACTACTTGAAATCTGGGAAACAAAAATTTTAAATAAACATTTCATTCATAAATTGGCTTGTTATAGATAAGGAGAGTTTTACAAATCTCTGTCCTTGGACAGAGTGCGTTCAGGGGCTTCTCTGTCAAAGGACAGAGAGTCAACTGAGGAAAATAATACTGAGAGGTGCCCAAGTCATAGGGAACAGCTGCCTAAGGTCGCACCCTACCATTGCACCAGGTGCAGGGATTGGTGCTCGCACCTAGGCCAGCACAACCGATGGTTTCGGGGGCTGAGGGGAATTTTTGTTCCTGTCCCGAGCATACATGCTTGGGTCCCCACCTAAAAATAGACCTTGTGTCACATCTCGTCCTAGTTGGGGGGACAGAGTAAATACCATGTGTAAAATACACTGGGGCTTTTAGTCTCAGTGGGAGAATTAAGGTCCAATTTCACATTCATATAGGTTTTACTTAATTAGCTATTATGTTTCTCTAACTCTTTAAATGTTGAATGTATAACTAATTCTAATTTCTATTTTCCCATCTTTACACTATATTAATTTTATCTTATAAATTGTTCCCTCTTCTGTCACCCAGGAAACAAAAATAATTGTTTGTACAGAAAATAAGGATCTATATACATCAAATCATCTTTAAATTATTATAATAATTAAAGAATTATCATTGAACTTTTAAAAGGTAAGCTTAAATTCAATACTTAAATGCAGTGATCAATTTTGAGTTTGTAGTTTATCGATGCCTATCACATCTACTCCTCCCTAGCTATTGTAATGATGGCCAAACCAAGAGTCCTCCACAGTAGCTAGTTTAAATGCTGCCTGATAAAATTTTAAGCTAGCTGCAATTTTGGATGCAAAAGGAAAATAAGTGTTACTCTCCTTGAACCATGACAGCAACAATAAAGGTTAGTATAATATATTAATATATATATTTAACCTCACATAATCTGGCAACCCCAAATCTGAGATCAACAAAAATCATTCCCTGCACCTAACTTTTCTAGGGCTTTTGAATGAGCTATGAATCACTGAAATTGGACCAGTGGGAGCAGAAGAGTTGCTTAGACACACACACATGCACAAACACACATACACTGTACTTTATATATAAGATACAGATGGCACTTGTTGATGGCAAACTTTGGAAGAAAACTGCAGTAACTCCTAGACAGGGTAGTAAAAGAAAGCAAGAAGAAAGGACTATCAATTGCAAGAAAACAGAATGTATGATTGTCCCCAAGTAAAACAGCCCAAAATGCAAGCTATGAATTGGAAATATCAAAATCAAACACGTACAGAAATTTAAATATCATGGAGTTGTTTTAACAGATGACATAAATTGGAAGGTACATTGGAATAGTGATAGGTACTTTCCAAAAGCTCAGCAAAGTATCAAGAAACAGGAAAATTCCCTTAGGAATAAAGAAAAGAGTACTGAACTGCTATGTAATATTAGTCCTCCTATATGGCAGTAAATTCTGGGCAATTTCCTCACAGAACAAGAGGAGATTTGAGGCAACAGAAATGTAGTTCTACAGAAGGATGCTGAGAATACCATGGATAGAACATGTGAGCAATAAAAAATGAAAGTAAAAAGAACACTTAGAATCAGAAAGAGTTGAAATTTCTTGGACATATAATAAGGAAAGAGGACTTGGGAATTTTCACACTCAAAGGACTTATTGAAGGCAACTGGGACAAAATCAGTCAGTTAAGTGCCATAAATGATACAAGCTTTGGTGATCATGTATCTTTCAATTCATGACTGACGAGGCAGAAGATTTTCCCAGAGTAGGTTGCTGTTTTTTTCTGTGGTAGACTGGTTGTCAACCAAGACTACTGTATCCAGTGTGTCCTGCTATTCAACCCATAGCTGGGGGGAGAAGTGATAGATTCATAGGTCTTGTAAATATCTGGGAAGTGTTTTAACAGTGCATCACTGGAGTCTGAAGGTAAATTGGGATAGCTAAAGATGCATTCCAAAAGCTGAGCAGAGTATTAAAAAACAGAGAAATTTCATTAGAAACAATGAAAAAAGTACTGAACTGTTATGTGATATCTGTCCTCCTATATGGCCATGAATGCTGGGCAGGCTCCTTAGAGATGAAGAAAAGGCTTGAAACAACAGAAATTTGGTTTTACAGAAGGATTCTTAGGATGTAATGGACTGATCAACGTCAAAGTTTCCGAGAAAATGTAAACAAAAAGGAAAATTATACTTAACATCAGGAAGAGGCAGTTGAAATTTCTAGGGCATATAATGAGGAAAGAGGGCTTGGAAAAAATTGAAGGCAAGAAGCACAGAGTAAATGTATGGCAGAACAAGGTTTAGGAGAAATAACAAAAAGACAATATTTATTAAGAGCTATGAAGAACAGGAAATTGTGGAGAGCCATGATTGTTTATGTCCTGAATCGACAAGTTCATATTAAAATGCACATACTTCATTGCACTCCATTCTGTTTACTTAAAACTCACATAACATAAACCAAGCTGTACAATGCAATAAAAAGCAACAAAAATGAAAAAGAAAACAAATAAAAACTGACTGACTATATATTTTGTTCTTATTGTCGGAAGTTTTCAGATGTATTATTCTTATCAGTCATTGAATTGTTTTGTATTTTTATCTAGAGGGTGTCTCCCCAAAATGTACTCACTTTTTGATTTCCTATAACTTCTTGATTTTTTTTCTTTTTTCACATCCATGTATTTAATTTCATTTAATATTTAATTTAAACAGTTAATCTTCTTTGTAATAGAAGTAGATAGGTTCACCTATCATCAGCTTCACCCTAATCCCTGGTCTTTGTAACAGGAGTAAAGGTTTATCCCTTGTTTCCAATTTTAGGATTGGGTTTCTTTTTAAAGTCTTTTTCATTCTTTCTCACTTGCATCTTAGTAGCATTATCACCTTGCTTGGTGTGAATTGATTTGAAAAAATGTCAATAAATATTAATATTTCTTAATTTTATCTACTAATCTTTTTCGCAAGTCAATAAACACTGCATTTATTATCATTTAAAGATCCAGTACATTTTTTGGGATCTTATCTAATTTGTTCTTTATTCAGCATTTTTGCTTGTCTGTTCTCTGACTTACACCAAGTAATTGTGGCATCCACTGAATAGTCTTAAATATTCTTATTGATTATTCACCAGATTCCACATTTACCATAAAAAGTCCTGGAGAATTGATCATCTAAAATTGGATATCTATTAAAGATATTTGCTTCATCAATTATAGTGATAATAGTGAATCATTTTATCTACAAAAAACATTTACTGGCAATTTAGTGGATTATAAATGTAGTTGCTGTCAATACAGTACTGTTTACCTATAACTAAATACTAAAAAGATTACAATTAGCATATTACTGTGACATCAGACCAAAAATAGTGGCAAACTTTTCAGGGGATTTAAGAAATATTTTTATTTTATTTTATTAATTAAACTTTGCCCACTAATAGAGTATTGCTACAGAAGCTCATAGTGTTTTGCTTACAGTGTTTACTTACCTGCACTGGTACTTTTTCATTATCAACATTCAAAACTTTGAAAGCATTTCTTGCAATGACTGGGATGCGTATCCAATGTGTGACATTGTGAGCTAATGGATTGTATAAGGTGATCAAAAACTGGAATTAAACAAAAAAGAATTTTTATCAAAATTTTATTTTCATCCATGATACCTAAAGTAAGCAGATGCTAGAAAGTATATGTTACATAAAGTAAAAAGATAATAGAATGTATATGGTACTTAAAGAAATCAGATGCTAGAATATATATGGTACCAAAATTAAGCAAATACTAGAACCTATACTAGGTTTGATAAAAAAATATTAGAACTGGTACTAAAAAAAACAACATATATCAATTTGGCATTTAATCTCCTTTGAAGTAGTCCTCTTCTGAAGCCACACACTTTAACTGGTGTTTCCATTGATGAAAGCATTCCTGAAGCTTTTTTTGTGGGATAGCAAGCAACTGCTTCATCCCAATCTCTTGGATTTCATATATGCCTTGAAATTTTGTTCCCTTTAAGTGGGATTTGATCTTTAGAAAGAGTGAAAAGCCACAAGGGGCAAGATCTGGGGAATATGGTAGTTGTTGGGCATGAGGAATATTGTACTTGGCTAAAAACTGTGCAATGCTGTGCTGAATGGACAGGTGTGCTGTCATAGTGAAGTTGTCATTCATTGGATATATGTCATTCATTGGATATGTGTCATTCATTGGATATATGTAATTCATTGGATATATGTAATTCTGTCTTTTTTGACAAACACACAATCCCACAAAAACCAAGACACACATCCTATTGTCTGATCAAACGGAGTATAAACATTATGTACAATGCCCTTGTAGCCAAAGAAAACTGTCAATAGTTTCTTCTCAATGCTTCAACTCATTTCTGCTTTCTTCAGTCTTGGAGAGGTTGGGGTCTTCCACAGTAAAAACTGAGACTTAGTTTCAGGGTCATAGCCTCAGACCTACAATTATGTTATGACCATTTTCAAAAAGTTTTCTGTCGCGTAGTGAGATGACCACACTCTACACATTTTCCTTCCAAGCACTGCTATAAACAACAGAAATGAGCAAGAACATTATGACTTAGTTTAATGTCACTCTGTGCTAAGCAGCTTAACTCTGCATACTTTAGGTCTGCTACCATAGCAATAGTCCTGATGCTTTCTGATCAGATCTTGTACATGTTTGTATATACATATTTGTACATTGTGATTATTTGTTATGATGAATAGGTTGAGAAAAAAAGTTCATAGCATTTATAAATATTTTTGCTTCAAACATTATTTTTAGTGGATATCCATATTTGAGTTGATGCATTGTTTCATTTAACCATCTTTATTTCGTTTACTTGCATGCACATGGAGCTGATGTGGCTTTTGAGAAAATCTGAACAAACGAATGTCCTTGACTTGTGAAGCTGTTTGTAGCTGAGTGGTCAAAGCATGCTAGATCAGATGGCAGTTTCTCCTGCAAAGATGGATGGAGGTTCAGATCCAGCCAGAGAACACATTTTCTTTTTTAAGTTTCCTCACGTGTGCAGGTGGATAGATGAAATACGCAGCATTTAAAAAAAATCAGACATCTACTCAAATATGGATATCCAGTAAAAATAATGTTTGAAGTAATAAAATATGTCAGATTAAAAAATAAAATCCATTATATATATGCACACACACACACACACACACACACACACATATATATATATATATATATATATATATATATATATATATATATATATATATATATATATATATATCAAGTATATAATTGGTATATACGGAATGAATTCCAATAACCAACAATTAATATTCTTAAAAGAGTGGTCAATACAAAGTAGAGCAGATATAATTATTAAGTATGTTATAAAATCACTACAATATATATATATATATATATATATATATATATATACATATACATACTGCTATAATTCAGAATTTTGAAGAATTAGCATCAAATGAACTTGACAGAGGAATGAAAAAGTGCTCTTAGAGTCATTGAAAAATGAATGGAATCAATTATCAAATTTATACTTTGAGAAACTTTTGATATGAATGCCAAAAATCTGTGCTACAATAACCAAGAGCAAAATTTTCTCATAAATCATTTTTTTCTTTTTGCCATAATAAAATTTCTAATAAAAAAATTATGTCTCACTTTCTTTAACCATGTATAATAATTTTTCTGAGAAACATTGGTTCTGATTCATGTGGAAGAACTTATTACAATACAACTTATTTCAACATATTGAAAACCAAGTATAATTTTTCAAAGTTGTACTTGGTGCAAGTCTTTTATGAGAGCAGTATCACTTTTCAAAAGGACAATGTTTCTTGTCACACTACATGTATTATACAGGAATTGTCCCAGGAATGTGAGGAAGACTTCATGTGTTGCCCTATCTACCAAACCCTCCATTTCTCAATCCCAATGAGCACTTGTAGGATATTTTGAACTAACAATTTCACTTTGGAGTTAAAGGACCAGTTGTTAATATCATGGCATCAGTCTGAGAGGAAATCTTTACAGGCCTTGTAGCGTTTAGGCCTGGCTGACTAATTGTTTTGCTGACATATGAAAGACCAACGCCTTATTTGACGAGAGGGCCTCATGTTTTGATTCATCAGTGTCTGCTATTATCATACACCCTCCTACACACAAACACACATACACATATGATATGGACTTAGCCTGCATGCATGCAAAAACATATATTAAGCAAGGAAACCTTGAAAACAAAAGATAAAATTTTAAACCATAAGAACTTGAAACTGGGAAACATTCTAAATTTACTTACCTCAGAGTATGTCTCTATAACTTTGCAATAACTTATGTTCAACTGGTTACAAAAATAATGTTCAAGATTACCCTTGGTTCGCAGCCATTTTTTGTAGGCATCTCCCATCACAGTCTGTAAAAAATGATTAAACAGAAAATATCAAGTTGCCGTCAAGTAAAGGTTTCAGATTTAACTGCAGTAAAGCTGGGACAGTTGGTTCAATTTATTCATAGCACTTGTTAAATTAAACATCATTCCTGTATACAACTGAGTTTCAAATAGATAGGGTGACTGGAATAAAAGCAGTAGCCAGAAAATTTCCAAATACTAAAGAAAAGGTATGGGTGATGAAGTAGTGAAATGATTTGTCCCAGAACACTCAGCCTAAATTAAGGAGTGGGAGGAAATTCCCTGAATGGTTAATAAAATGGGTGGTTAAAATAAAGATGTCCTGGGTGAAGGAATAAACGTCCTGGCCTGTCGATTTGAAACTCAGGGTTAGACTTCCTCTGATTTTCTGAAATGCTGTAAAAAAAAACACGTAAGAAAGTAGATTTTAGAAATGTTCTCTGAAATTAAGTAGAATTGTTGACAGTCAGTTTGGAGACTATCTCGGAGTTGAAAGAAGGAAATCCTATCATTTTTAAACCAAAATAGTTTGGCTACATTTCTGTATTTTATTCACAAGAGTATTCGCATCTTTGTATCTTTTTCTGCAGCATTTTGACTGGTGAATTATCCATTCTCAGCTGTAATATCTAATGAATTGCTATCAATTTACTCAGAAAAAGATGCATGATATAAAATTAGTAGTGTGATATATAGTGACTATTACCGCTGCAGATGCAATACTCTTGGTTAAGACGAATCGAGTTCTCCAGTCACTAGCGTGTTTATCTAAAAATAAATATGTCTAAATTCACCTTCATCCCTGTCGTGCACCAATAGCTTAGAATTAGAGTCTCTAACTGATATCATATCAGTCGGGTTTCGATCCCAGGTTGAGGCAGTCAGATGTCTAGCTACACTGATTCACTGTGAAACAGTCTGTCTGTGGATATTGACAATATCAATATATATATATATATATATATAGAACAGAATTTATGAAGACAGAAGATAACAACCGACATTGAATTAAAGTTGACTGGTAAGCAAATGACTGGAAGAAACTGTTAACATAGAACTTACAGTTAGATCTAGTCATTTCAACTGTAAAATGATGAGAACTTGATGCCACTCTAGTACTGCACTTAAATTCATAAAGTCGAGGTACCAAAGAGGAAAGCTCATTAGAACAATTACCATGAAAGCATTTAGAGAAAAAGCATATTCACTTATGTGCTAATACCCTTGGGAAAGGTATGAATCCTCTTCTTCTCCCCCCAGCTATGGTTAAATAGCGGGACAGATTGAGTTCTATAGACTTGGATGGCAACTGGTCTACTGCAGAAAGAAACGGCAACCTACTGCGGGAAAAAATCTGCCTTGTCAGTCATGTATTGAAAAAATACATGATTGCCTAAGTGTGTATCACACATGGCACATAACTGACTGATAGGGATGCTATGTTACAGTGGTGGGGAAGTGACTGAAACCAAGATACCAGGTTAGGACCAATAATATTGCAGATTCTTCTTTGGAGTTTATCAAGAATCTCTAAATATATAGCAGAAGCACCAGATTAGATATGGCAGCAATATTCAATGAATGGAAGAATGATAGACTTATAAATGTGTAAGATAAATTCTGGCAAGAAGAAAAAAATGGTTAACAGTGAACTTTACTAGCAGCAGGCTTAGCAATTGGTTCAATATAATCATTCTACTTCATGTTAAGAGAAAACACTAGCTTGCAAAGGTACAATGAGTCACTCTCCTAGAGGTTAGCATCAACCATGCTGATAGAAGTCCCAAAAAGCTCCCTTAAAATGATTTTAAAAGAACAATTTTGTTTTGGAGATGTTAAAATTAACAAGCCATTTCTTGTCCCAATTAGCAACAGGATATCTAAAGGATATTTTTAATATCAGCTGCCAGTATGACCTTATCAAACATATCAGATTCACCATTAAGACATGAGTAAATAGTTGTATTATTAGGCATAGAGATAGTGAATGGAGAATTGATGACATCAAGAAAATTACTGAAAATTTCTCACCAGTTTTGTGGTGAGTAACTGATACATCATTAAAAACAAGCCATGCTGTGGAACACTACCCCACGGAAATTACTAATTTTGCTTATTTACATGAGCATACAGATACACACTTGCAGATATGCACAAGAGCGACACATGGATATGTGTTCAAGAGAGAGAGAAAGAGAGATTGACGCACACAAATGTTCATTGACAGACACACTGACATGCATTTGCAGAGACACAGAGTGATACATTGACAGAGACATAAGGAGAGAATATTACCATACGCACAAAGACATTTACAGAGATACAGGGAGAGAAACACAGACTTAGAGAGACACACACAGCTCCACATGGTACTTATATGCATATGTGTTTCAGTTCCTCACTGAAGTTGGCCTATTTATAGCTGTTAATAATGCAGGAAAGTGATAATTTACATTGAATTTGAAGATAAAATCTATGTATACATTACCTGACAGCTTTCAATTCCTTCAGCTAATCTCTTTCTGTAATCATTGTCAACTTGCTGTTTGGCAGTCCCTCTGAAGAAAATAAAATCACAGAGAAAAATAAGAAAAATCCCAAATAATGTTTAACCTTTGTGGCTGAAAAAAAATGGTGTGTCAAAAGGACGCTTATTCCTTTGACGCCAATATTACTTTAAACACTTTTAAATCCCACAGAAATGTTTATTTTTAATATATATATATATATATATATATATATATATATATATGTGTGTGTGTGTGTGTGTGTGTGTGTGTGTGTATGTATATATGCGTATGCATGTGTGTGTGTATATATATATATATATAATCAAATGGATAAATAATAGTAAATGCATGAGCAAAGTTTTTTCCATGACAGTATCCATTTTTAAATTAGAATTTATAATTTTTATTTTCAATCTTACATATTAATCTGTGACAAAATTCAGATCCTAACTTAAGTTACAATTCATTTAAACACTTAAAAGCAATAATAATCGACCCTAACAATAAAATATCTTGCGATAACCATAAGTATTAAACAAATGGTGTAAATTTTAACATTGTACCAGAACATTGCAAATGCCCTGAAACTCTGAGTTGTGCAACCAACATAGGGTATTATGTATATTTTTTAATATATATATATATATATATATATATATATATATTTTAATATATATATATATTTTATATATATATATATATATATATATATATATATATATATATATAAAGGGTCTTTCAATAACTTGAACTGATATTAAATGTGAATTAAGTCTAAAATCAGTCAAAGTTATTGGAACACCCTTTATTCATATATATATATATATATATATATATATATAAATATCAACCTAAAGAGCCAGGTAAACCTACCTAGGTTTCACCTATATGGATCATCAGGGTCAACTGGCCTTGAGCACTTTACATAGTTACTTTTGCTTTACTCGTTTTTGTTTTTTTTCTGTGGACCCTGAGCTTGAATTCTGGACGATTGTTTTCGCCTCAATTTCATGGTCTTAGTTCTTTCTATTTTCATTCCTTATTTTCCCTTGGACATTGGTTTGTTCAATTACAAGCCAAAATACTTACGGTTTTTCCTAACGAGTATAACTATTTATATTATATATATATATATATATATATATATATATATATATTACATATACAATATATATATATTTTAATATATTCATTGTTTATATATTATTTTTATAGATACAAATATTTAAGTAAATGCTCTGTTTATAATAAACAGTATTAACAACATTTACTGGCTTGAATGTTTAAGAAATTTCATAGAAAATATGTCTCCTCTGATAGGAATTGAACCTGTATCCTACACGGAAATGTCATATAGCCTGATGTGCTATACTATTTAACTACAGAGGGACCATCTGGTTAGCAGTAATTAGTAGTTGTAATTTTCTTGCAACATGTTTCATCCTTTATGACTTCATCAGACTAAATTTGTTATGTTGGTGTGACTACACATGCACATAAGCAAGGGATTCTGGGAATTTTAAATTAAATCTTTTTTTTTTACCTAGCCGACTTCATTTAGATTCTTTTTGTTTTTGTTTCCATTTCATAATGTATATTTGGGTAGCAAACTTTATTTCAAAAGTATTTTGTTTAATATGACAGACAAGAAAAATTTGATGATTTTTTTATTTAGTTTTTCAAACACTGATAGATTTTTCTGTTTGGTGGGATTAAGGAAGTGAAAAATTCTCCATATTGTTCATTATCTCACATGCTTTCAGCCACTTTTTTAGCTATTAAGTTTTAACTAGGGGGTTTGTTTTTAGGTGTCATTAATTCCTCTTCATAACTGCTTTTGTATTCCAGCCATGAATACTCCCCTATAATCTGTATGGATATGGCATTTAATAGCAAAATTAGGAGAATGCAAAGTATAAAGAAATGAAACATTAACCAGACTGAATTCCCTCAATTGTAAGAGAGAACACAAAGGGAGACAATTTGACATCGGACGGGAAATTCTATATCCAGTCACTTCTAGGAATTGACTTATTGAACCTATTTGTCAGAGTTTGTCAAAATCTATTCTTGAATCTTTCTACACTGTCACACATACACGCACAAAGCACACACATGTACATATGCACATGCACACATTCACACATGCATATACACATGCACATGTGTGCATGCACTCACATGTAAACACATACATATATGCATTCAAACACACATACATGTATTCACACACATAGACACACATACATGCATTCACACACACATACACACAAATATATGTGCACAAACATACGCACACTCTTGCATGTACATACATGCACACACTGACACATACACGCACATACATGCACACAATATTTTACTGATCTGCAAATATATAGCCAATTGCAACTCTCTATTTTTATCTTGCTTCCAAGTTTTGGTAATTATGATATTTTAGTTCTGCTGGTTTTCATCATCTTGGGCGTTTTGAAGGAGAATCAGAATGTTTATTTATCAGATGAGATACAAGCTCTTCAAAGTCATTTGTTGATGGAGTAGAGAGCAGAAGAGGTGGGCAGAAGGTGTGATGGCCTTGGGCATCCATATCAAGAGGGCATCCAATTAAAGAGTGAAATAAAAGTTTATTTTATATTTAATTTGAATAAAGTGTTTATTCCATGTTTCATCTGTTTTTACATATTTAAAATGTCTTCCTTTTTCACATTTCTCAGTACTAGACCCTATAAGTCCTTCTACTTGGGTTTTAGGGACGTACAATCAAGGAATTGACCCCCAGGTATCACCAAACATAACCAAAACCTCTGCATGTCACTGTGTTAACTCCAAATAAAAATCATATATATGTCACATAATTTTCTTTTTTTACTGAAAAAAAATACAATAAATTTTCCCAGAAGCTACTCAGCTTTTGAACAGAACAACTTTTGATATCTTGATCTCAATTAATTCTGACCCACAATTGATGGTATGCAAAAGGCTTCTGTTTTGAAAGTGACTGATAACAAACGTTAGAGTGATTTTTCAGTATTTTCTCTGCTCATAAGAAAAATCCACCTGTTTTTTTTAATGATTGCTTTTGGTGAGGTAGAAAACAAAAACAATACTAATTCATTCAAAAGTGTAAAAAATGGTCATTTTTTCACTACACGATACATAAATGTTTATTGTACCTAAACTCCATTTTTTTTAGACAAACCACCTTGAAGAATTCCCAGAATTCCTTCATCTAAGAATGTCTCCCACAAATAATAAATAAATAAGCAAGCCTACCTTTCTAGTTCTTGCTTTTCTTTCTCTACTATTTTATCCATTTACTTAATAGGAAACATGTGGATTGCAGACAGTTTATCTGTGCAGTAATTATCTTTTAACATACATTTTTTTTTTGCTTTCTTTTGCCCAACAATCTCATCTATTAGCCCACCTTCATCGATTGAGCCTGTGGTAGCATCATGATGAAGAATTGTAATCTCTAGAAATGTATATCAACTGCTAAAATCTAAATCATTTCTTTTGCAGCCACATTTTCTTCAATTCTAGCCTGTTAAGTTGAAATTGCAGGAATAAAATGTACTGACTGTGAATATCTCAGATTAAGAACATATTGTTTATTGTATAGATTTATGTCAGAGGTTATAATCTCCAAAAAATGTTAAAGTGTTTTTATCTTCTGAGGCATAATTTTTCATTTGAAATAGTTTCAAATATTTTATGGCTATTAAATTTAACAGAACTAATTTTAAAGAATATTTATTTATCAAATAATCATAAGTGCAGACATTTTGAATTTGAATCATTATTTCTGCAACTAAGATTTAAAAAAGAAAAATTTTAATAAAGTAATTTAATTATTCTAAAGCTTGTCCTTTCTAGACACACATTAACCATATCTTATATTATAAATAAAGAAAAACATTGACAATTTGACAAGATTTAGTAAGCCTGGAAATCTGATTATGATGTGAATAAACACTGAAATATTGCTAAAATCAAACTCAGCATCTTGTGTGTTAATCAGATATTGATCAACTCCAATATGTTTTCTAATGACATTTTACTTTAATCAAATATTTTCTCAGTTAATTACTTTCTTTATACCAGTTTAAACTTATCTATCTATCTATCTATCTATCTATCTATCTATCTATGGACACTGGGGTCAACACCAAGTGATGACAGTCTGTTTCATGCCTCAATGCAATCTCCAGGCCATGTGTGTTGTGTTTTATCTTGATTATATATGCTGGCCAGTAGTGCATTATGTGTAGTAAAGTCTATAGTATTATTCTGATTATTGTGTAGATGGTAATGGTTATGTTTCAAATTATTTTAGAGGCTACTGAGTAGAAATAATTGTGGTCATTTGTAGCAATTTTATAGTGCTGTTTCTTAACTTTTTACTGACTATTTATTATTGATTACTTAATTATTTCTTGTTGTTTATTATTACATTTAATTGTGTTTATGTGTTCATTTGTAGTTTATTTATCATCTAATTAATTTGTGTATTTATTTATTTAGATTTTTGTTTATTTTATTTATTTTTGGGGTTTGGTTGTCTTTGTTTAATTTAAAATATTGGCTTTTTATAAAATATTTACATTATCTGTATTGTATATAGAGCATATATCTGCTTTTTCATGTTGATATTTTAGAAGATATTTAATATTAGTTTTTGATTTTTAAGTAACATAATAATAATTTGTTTTTGTGTCTATATTTTGAGATAAGTTTTGATAATTTATTTAATAATTTGTATTAGTCTAGGAAGGTGCTTTACATTTTACATATGCTCTCTCTGATATTTTACCCATCACTTTTACCCATAAATATAGCACACTGAAATATTGTATTTTATCATATATATATATATATATATATATATATATATATATAAGTGAACATTGAAGTCAACACTCAGATGTGACAGACTGTTTCATGATAAATTCAATTGTCAGGCCACATCTGCATTTAGCATGTTGCCTCTGAGTGTTGACTTCAATGTTCACTTTTATATTGACATACACACTATCTCTATTATGGTTGTCCACTTGCTCCAAGAGGATGACCAACAAACAGGAAGCAGGTGATCTTGTAGTTACTTCACCCACAAACTCCAGTAACCTGTTGGTGCTAACACAATTTTTTATAGTCAACCATAGCTTACACAATACAATGTGGGTTCTTAGCCTTGGACAAGAACCAGTCAAGAAAATTGGAGATTTTCAATATAAGTAGTCTGATGGTAAGACACGGGCAGTGTCATTAATGCCTGAATCATGTCATGATGGTATGACCATAACCATTTGTTACAATACAAGGTATTTGCAAGTGATGATGATTGGCCACCTATTTTCATGATAGCTTCTACATTTATTTGTTCACAATCATTGAGCTTTAGTTGCTGGAGATCCATCTTTCAGGTCATTCCTCCTTATAAAACTCATGGGATAGGATCAGTGGGTCCTATGTCTACCATTTTAACCTATGTCTACCGATTTAATGATAGAATTCAGCATTAAATAACCTGGAAAAGCAAATCAAACTAATGAATTTCTAATCACTAGAAAATAGATTTACAATCATGCTAGCATATGTGTTTGAAATTTCAATTTATTTACTTACGTAATTGCATCATGATGCTGCACAATTGAAAATTCTCTCCCTGAAATAATGAACAAAAACAAATATTAGGAAAAGTATGATATTCAATGGCCTTGTTGTATCTCCTACATCTACAAGAAATGGATGTTGACGACTTGACAACACAAAGCAGACTGCATGAATGCGTTTTCTGTGCATCAGCTCAACACATACATCTGCTTTAACCAATACAAAATTATTAAAATATTGTAACCATTTAGAGCCATTGCCATTCAAAAACCAAAACCTTAATTTCAAGCCAACTAAAAACTATATATACCCAAATTCAAACAGACCTTACCCAGATCAGCGTTTGATGTCAACAACGACATGCTGAGAGAGAGACACCACCAATGATTATGATGGCCACCACCAAGTGTCTATTCACTTCTAATTTCCCCACTCTTTCTCCCTGTTACCTCAACAACAGCAACATATGGAAGTTTCTAGTCTTTGTATATATCTAAATAAATTTACATTTATTTACCCCTACTCAATGTCTTCTTTTGTTTGACACTTGGACTTATGTTTGCTAAGACAGAGAAAGAATTAATCTTCACAGCAGTAACAAGAAGAAGAAGGTTCTAACTTCTAGGTTACCCATTTTCGCCTCCGCAATGGCCTGGATTCAACTTGACACCCAATAGATATTCAAAGCATAGGGCTTCATTTTGAGTGCAGATGTTCAGCATGATCATTATGATATACTAATTTTAAGGAGTATTTCATATAATAATTTTAAGTGTTGAAATGTTGATCCTTAAATTTGGATCATTATTTTTACCACTCATATTTAAAACAAGAAAAATGGCAATGTTTCACCTATGTGCCTGCAAAAAACATTGGGTCAAATGGACAGTTATTTCCTTGACACCGCTATTACTGTATACATTTTTGACTCCCTGGGCAGTGTTTGTTGTTTTAAAACATGAAGATTAGAATTTTAATAAAACCCAAACATATGAAAGTGGATTTATACATTCTCGTTATTTTTGAGAATTGACAACAAAGATGTTAAACTCTATTTATTTATTAGATTGTTTATTTACAAGAATAATTTCATATTTACAAGATTTTAAAAATATGAGAGCCAACTATAAGGAAATATTTATTATTTACTATTTTATAAAAAAATTTTTTTTATTCATAAATTTATAAAAGTATCTGTGAATAAGAAAATTTATATAAACACATGACAAGTAACTGTAAGTATTTGTCTATATTTCTGAGATGACGTATTATGTACACTATTTACATCTTTGTTGCAATATTTATCATAATGTTTCGGTCGTTGTATGCTCTGACCTTCTTCAGGTGGTTGGAATGTCAAACGGAACCCTTTATTTTGCTCACTGGGGTAGACTGTTCTACATGCCATGTCTAATAGATGTCAGTTATCAGTTATCTCCTGTTAATTCACCTCTCCAAGTTCTCAACTCTTTGGGTCCTGTCACTGGATCTAACCAACAACTTTATCCACTGTGCCATGTGTCCTTGAGGACATCTGTATATGAATTTCTGGGATTTATAAACTTAATGTCTTCAGCAACCGTTTTTTTTACCAGTGCTCATATTGCAATTGTTGCTGTTATCATTGCATGTTTTTTACCAGAGCTCATATTGGAATTTTCATTGTTATTATTGCTTTTCTCTGGCATCCCTTATTACTGGTTCCCATATTGTATTGATTTCTATGCTTGGTCGGCTCAGCAGATTTTTGTGGCCTAGCATATGTGCTGATTCCTTAAGTTTACAAATTTTCTAATGATGTACTTTTATCTATGATTTCAACCTGATAAATAAGTAACTGTAAATTTGGAAAAAAATAATTTTCTGGTTTTTTTCTTTCATTTGCTCTCACCACATAAATTCACTAAAATAAGCTGAGATCTTCTCTTCCTTTTACATATTTTAATAATTTTGTAATTTTTTAAATAAATTTTTTAATAAAGATTTTTCTTAATAATAAATTTAATACTTTATAAAATGATGAATAAAAGAATACTTATAAAAAGGCAAATAATAAATATCACATTGTACTTGGTTCATATATTTTTATAATCTTGTAAATAAACATTTCTGAGGGAGTGAAAAATATATGTAGTATTAAAAGTGTCAAGGGAATGACTGTCCTTTTTTATTTTGCAGGCATGAAGGTTAGAATTTGCCAGAAAGATTTTATTCTAGTCATTCATAAGATTTTTTTCTTGTTGATACACTTTAACCAGATTGTATATCCTAAATGAAGAAAAACTTTAGCAACTTTAAATATGAATCTCAGTAAATTTGATAATATCTCCAATTTCCTGACAGATACCACAGAATTGGCACTTAGCTATTTATTACAGTTTTAGTGAAAAGTTAAATTTACTTACAAAGTTTATCAACAAGCTTGTTTTCACGTAATTTTGCCAAAGCATTCACTTGTTTGCAAGCCTGGAAAATAAAAAGTATGAAAATAAACATTGATTATTAAAACATTATAAAACTGGTCAAAACAATATGAATCTCATTTTAGGAATTAGAAAGCAGTTAATTTAATATTGCAATAAAAAATTCATGTGATAGTCATTATGGGTTTATAGTATTGATGAAAGAACAATGCTTTCAAGAACTTCATTATAGAAATTATTCTTTCCAAAAATATTCCCTTTTTTGTGCTTTATTTTTCTTCTCTGTTTGACTCTATTACCTTAATTCTTTCATTTTACAAGCAAAAGATGCCTTCAAAAAGTTAAGTAAAGTATTAAGAAACAGAATTGTTATGTAATATTATATTCTTATCAATGCTGGACCATCTCAAACGCACAAATACCTTTGGTAAAAGTATGAATCCATCTCTACTCCTCCCATCTATGGGTTAATTAATAAAACTTGTATCACTAAACAATTATAATCTCAAAAAACATTTTTACAATCAAAAATATTTTCTGAATTTAAATATCCTGCAAAGTCTTGATAAGCTGTAGAAAATGAATCAATCAATCATGGAGCATCTCATCACAGAAAGAAAAGAGACTTGAAACAACTCTATAGAAGGATACTGAGAAATCCATGGGCCTAACATGTGTGTGACAACAAAGTTTTTGAGAAAATGATAACAAAAAGGACACTTATATATAGCATCAGAAAGACAGAGTTGAAATTTCTAGGACACATTAATGAGGACAGAGGGCTTGGAGAATTTGATACTCACAGGAGTAGGCAAAAAAAGGAAAGCAGTGCATAACCTATCTAATGAGCTTCGGTAAATGGTTGGCAGAACTGGGATTATGAGTTATAGTAAAAAGACTAAATTTAATAAGAGCTACAAAGGACAGGAAGTTGTGGAGAGCCATGATCGTCCACGTCCTGAAGTGACCCTGCATATGGAAGAAGAAGAGGAAACACTTCAAATATCTCAGTATATGAATCAGTTATAACAGATTCAGTTTGGAGTTAAGGAATTTGAACACAGGATAAGTTGTGTACTTTTGTGAAACACTGTCAGATGCAACAAAAGTCAAAATAGCCATGAAAACTCAAGTCATGTTTTTAAATAACCTCATCAGATCTAAAGACTGTTCATCATGCATGGTATCAAATACATTCAGAAATGTCTAAATTATCTTCTGTATACAACTGCTTTTTCAGATCAGTGGTTAACAACAAAACTGGGCCACTCATGTAACTAAAAGAGAAATAATATTTTTTTTAATATAATAATGATTTAGTGATACAAGTTTTACTAATTAACCCATAGATGGGAGGAGAAGAGGTGGATTCATACCTTTCCCAAGGGTATTTCCACATAAGTGAATATAACAAAACCATCAGGAGTTGGAACTCAGCTCTCCGATTAACAGTTTCTTGCCATTAGCCATTACACCACCCACACATCCAAGCTTACAGCATCTGGTATGCCCAAGTGGTTACTCATCTGTGTACTGACCAGGCTTGATGTTACTTTGGTGATCATACAGTAACCAGTGTTTTAATTTTGAATTCTATCAAGCCTGGAAAGTGAGGAATAGCAGTCTAGCCCAGATTATGTTAGTATTCAGCACTGATAGGAACTGTATAATTATACCCCACCTTTCCTATGGGGGTATTTGTGTGTAAGTGAATATAACATCCCCAACTGGAATTGGAACTTGGTTCTCCGATTAAACAATTTCAATTATCCATTACACTACCTGCACATCCAAGCTTACAGCACTTGGTATTCCCAAGTGGTCACCCATCACAGTACTGACCAGTCTCAATGCTGCTTAACTTCTGTGATCATAGAGTTATGTTTCAACCTACAACCCCTTTGTAAGGGAAACTATCCTTTGATCCTTTATTGATTACCATGACACAGAATGTAAAGTTCTGTTGGTTACCTTTACAAAGTGTTTGTTTTTTTGTTTTTTACGGCATATCAATATCAAGGGGTTATTTAATGCCGACAAGATTTTTATTGTGGCTAATATTTTTTTTTCCAAAAATGTATTGCTGGTAATAATTTTTCTTCAAAAATTTATTGTTGGTAATAATTTTTTACAAAGTATTTCTGATATTAAAAGCTATTTTTACACTTTTGTAGTGTTTTGACCCCAGTTTGGTGGTTAACTATTTACCCATAGCTGGGACCCTAACAGGTGCTACTATCCCAGGTCAGGGATTGACTTGGGAACACCAGCAATTAAGAGGTGGTTCCACGCTCCTCAAAACCTCTTGATCAGAGGCCTTTGCTGTTGTATGTAGTTTATTATCTTACTCAGGATGCTGATGTAATTTATTGTCATGCCCAGGAAGGCCTTACAAAGGGGAATACTAACTTTATCACTATCAGGGAATGCATTCCTGAATGTAAAATTTTAGATAAAAATTATGAAATTTTCAAATATATTTCAATGAAATTTTCACTTTCCAAAATTATTATTTTGATAGAGGGTAAAAAGTGTCAGTTTAAACCGACAACATGAAAAACTTTCTTGTTTATCTCTGCTTTAGTAAATTTTGTTTTTAAAATAATTGTGGATCTTTGTTTCTAAAAGTTGGTGATTACTCAACAGAAAATAAGTCGCCACCATTTGACGATTAAAACAATCGAAATGGACTTACCTTTAGTATATTGTTACTTTGTCGGACATAACTTTTGAAAGCGGCTCGGCTTGTGTAATAGCCAGTCCAGAAAGCATTTGGTTTATGAGCGTAAGGAAAGAAGTCATCTGTTTTCTCTGGCCAGGTCATATTTTGCTGGTTCAAGTGGTACAAATAACAAGATGGCGTGGAATAAAGAGCATTGATATTACTGCCTTCTTTTTGCTGAAAAGAAAAATGAATTGAACATGTTTCAGAAGTCAGAAATGAAGGAATTAAATTTGGAAACGTTTTTTTTAACCTAAAAGTAAAACAAAGTTGGTATGAGAAAATAAGAAAAATAGAGAATTGAAAACTTGTGAAGTATTTGCGTCTTTTGTTCCGGACCAGAAAATTGCTGATTGAAATGTTGTAAATAGAAACAAATCCAAGAAATTTTCTCTCTCTCTCTCTCTCTCTCTCTCTCTCTCTCTCTCTATCTATCTATCTATCTAAACTGAAATAGATGAATAGATATATATGAACAAACTGAAATAGTTAGACATATGTTCATATATGTCTAACTATTTAGATAGATAGATAGATAGATAGATATGAACTGAAATAGATAGATTGCTAGATATGATCAGACAGACAGACAGATAGAAAGATAGATGTGAACAGACTGATAGATATATAGATAGGTATTAACTAATTGAAATAGATAGATAGATAGATAGATAGATAGATAGATAGATAGATAGATATGAACTGAAATAGATAGATTGCTAGATATGATCAGACAGACAAACAGACAGACAGGCAGACAGACAGATAGAAAGATAGCTGTGAACAGACTGATAGATATATAGATATGTATAAACTAATTGAAATAGATAGATAGATAGATAGATAGATAGATAGATAGATAGATAGATAGATAGATAGATAGATAGATAGATATGAACATACTGAGATATGTGCAATCCAAACTTACCTTTTCATTAACAAGTGCAATAAGCTTATCTAAGTTGGTAAACCAATTTTCTGCATTGCTGTAATGGAAATCTGCCCCCATTGTAAAGATGATATGTCTTGTGGCATAACTTTGTTGCTGCAAATCAGAAAGAGACCCAAATTTCAATTCAATATAAAAGAAAAATAAATAAAGCATAAAATAACAGAATAAAAACTATCACATTAAATTATTTTGTATTTAAATGCCAATTAATAATTATCATCACATTCATGTGTCCCATAACTCTGAAGAGTTATTAATTTTAAACATATTCAAATTAATATGGCTTAATTTTATAATGATTTTTATATTGCAAAAACTACAGCTTTACTAAAATGATTGAAATGTATAACTGTGGAAAAGATTTATGCAGCACACAACATGGTTCGAAGATATACAAATCATTTCCAATCAAAACAAAGTAAGAGTCAAACCCCAGATTTTACATAGATGATCTTTTATACACCTGGATTTCTAAAATGAGGAATAGATTCAAATCATTGTGAGAAAGATTTAAACTCTAGGATATCTATTTACACTATTTACATTGTTTGGACTGTTGTCCTTATCTTTATTGTCCAATTCATAATGTTTCATATGAAGAATATAAATAGTGTAAATAGTTTCAATATCTTATCTCAGAAATATAGACAGATGTTTAGCATATCTATAGGCCAGTGTATGACTATTTAGCTGACAGACTGTGAATTAACTTTTTTCAGAAGACGTAACTTAACATTAATTTTTTTAAAATACTACTTTGATACTTGTGAACTTGATGAAGGTGAAATTAACTGGTTTTTAAAATTCAACATTGAACAAATGGGAAAATATATCTTATGTGTAAATATTTTCAAAAAGTACTCATGAAGTTGGGGAGGATAAAATGTTAAACAAATTATTCAATACTAATTTGGTACCTGTCTCTTCCCTGATGGCAAGGTGATCAAATTTCAAATCTAAATTGTTTTTTCAGTTAAAAAAATATATTTATTAGAAAATATATTCAGTTAAATACAGAAGGAATTATAAAATGATATCAAATGATTTCACATTTCTGCATCTACCCTTTTCCTGTTACCAAGAGATTATTGCCAGGCAGAAGGTGGAATTAGCCATTGTGACACAGGGGTTCATTTCAGTTTCATTCAAATTATGTGTGTGTATATACATGTATGTGCTTGTGTGTGTGTACTTGTGTGTGGCTGTGTGTGTGTGTATATGCTTGTATATGTATTAAATGACACAAGAACATGTAAATCACTCCTGCACAAAACAGATATATGCATATACATTACAATAGAGTGCATGTCAGACAAAGAATCAGAGCTTTTACAATATAATTCATATTTTTTGAAATTTCCAAAAATGAATCATTCTTACCTGGTCTGTGGCTACACGAAAAAATTTGTCAACAAATTGATCACCATTAAACCCAGGCAATTCTCTTTTTTCCTGAAATTAAAAATATTTTTGACACATTAACCATGACATGTTAACCAATTTCTGCTTTTAGTATATTAATAAATGTAATACTGGTACGTATATTTTTGGTTAATTATTTATTATATACACATAATATGTGTCAATGATAAAATGGAAGAAAGGTCAGGCTTCTCATCACTATCCTATCATTTAACCTAGCTAAATATAATCACTGACTCAATCATTTGATAATATTTCTTTTACCAAAACATCACATTTTTACCTGCCATCACATTTTCACACTACAGTTGCCATAATACCACATAATATTACAAAAAACCCATAATACCATGTAATACCAAATGACGTCATATAATACTACAAATATCACACAATACCACCCAATACCAAATACCACATAATATCATGTAATACCATATAATACCATGTAATATCACATAATACTACAAATGTCACATAATACCATGCAATACCATACAATACCACATAATACCACATCATAATAAAAAATACCACATAATACTACAAATACCACATAATACCATGTAATACCACATCATGAAGAGCCAAGTTTGAATTACACTCAAATCCATTACATACACTTACATGCTAATACCCTTGGGAAAGGTATGAATCCTCTTCTCCCTCCAGCTATGGGTAAATAACAGGACAGACTGGGTTCTATAGTCTTGGATGGCAGCTGGTCTACCACAGAAAAAAATGGCAACCTACTGTGGGGAAAACATCTGCCTCGTCAGTTATGTATTGAAAGATACATGATTGCCTAAGTGTGTATCACACATGGCACATAACTGAGTGAGTACAAATACCAATTAATACCACCCAATATGACTAATACAATATAATATCATATAATACCACAAAATACCACATAATACTAAAAATACCACATAATACTCAGCAATACATGTAATAGTATTTAATACCACATCATACAATAAATACCACCTAATACTACAAATACCATATAATATCATGTAATACCAGATAATACTACATAATGCCATAAATTCTCTCTGAAATCCTAATCCCCACAATGTATAATAATTTGTGAGTTTGGGGGGGGGGGAATGATAATAACAATATTTGACCCTAATGTATATTTATGTCTTCAGACTAATAATGATTTAATTGATGGAGCCAGTCTTTTATAATGGGCATGAGGCTGAGTGATTAGAATGTTCACTTTCTGGCCTTGTGATCCAGATTCGAATCTCATTATGTCAGGAAGGTAACTTTTTTATGTGATTATAAAAATATATGGACTCACTATAAAGAAATATTTATTATTTTCCATTTTAGGAAAACATTTAAGAAAATTTTTTTTATTTATAAATTAATAAAAATGATCTGTAAAGAAGAAAATTTAAATAAACACATTATGATGAGTAACTGTAATTAGAAATTTTGGAAAAAAATGCATTGTGTCAGTTCCTTTCATTTGCTTTCACCACCAACATTCAGTAAAATAGGTTAAGAGCATCTCTTCCTCCAAACCAAGCATTCATTTTAGATTTTTGATGTGTACACATGGTGGCTGAAATGTAACAATAGCAACAAATCTGTGGACATTAGTCCTAATATATTAATCACAGAATTCAGAGAGAAATTAATTTGACAATTTTCTGAAATCAACTTATTCTAAGACAAAGACACTTTCAACAAAACTTAGGTTTTGACTCTTATTAATCAGCTGAAAGTTCTAATATATTTTTAATACTAAATTCATAAAGAA